GTGTTTCAGTTGGTGATGCAGTATTTTTTATGCGTTGTTCTTTTATTTGTTATTGCTGTGAATAAGGGTGATATTGAGTTGAGTTTGAACTAGCTGACTCAAACTCAAAATTAAAGATTTCGATTTTAATTTGAGCCAAGTTCTAGTTTAGTCAATATTTATTGATTTTGCCAATTCTTTTGTTTGTTATTGCTACGAACATGGGTTATATTGAGTCGAGTTGGAACTAGCTGACTCAAACTGAAAATTAAAGATTTTGATTTTAACTCGAGCCAAGTTCTAGTTCAATCAACATTGATCTATTTTATTGAGTTGATTTAACTAAAGTATGTTAATTTTATAAAATATCTGTAATCATTTGACATGATATATATATATATAGTGCATATATATGTTTGTGTGTGTTTTAAGACACATAAATATATGTATATATTATATTTTGAGTCGATCCTGAGAAAAAACTATATATTATGAGGCTATTTTAATTTTCTAATTTTTTAATAAGGTTTAAATTATGGTTATTTGGACTGAACTTAGCAAATCTTGTGCAATCCATATATTTTTTAGGGATGATGAGTCTATAAATGGATGCTTTGAGGCATATAATTATTAATTTTGGCTTTTTTTTTTTCTGTCCAATTTTCATTCTTGTGAGTGCAACTTGAATGTAATTCTTTCAAGCACAATACGAGTGTTACTACTTAATTCAGGGGAAGTTATCTCCTTATTTTGATAGGAAGCATATTTTTTCTTGTTTTGACACTTAAGTTCTCGTTCTTATTTCATTTGTATAAATTTATATTGACTTATCAATGTTCTTGGTTTTGTTTAAATTTGGTATAGTGAAATTCTATTTGTAGGAATTGAATTTCAGTTGCTTTATGATTTTATGAGATTTTAAGTTGTCTAATTTTCTGGATTATTTTGATCATTTAAGTATTAGTTGGGTGTAAATTCTAGCATTGCCTATTTTTAATTTATAAGAAGCATTGGTTGAACTTATCTGTTGGCATGTGATAAGTGGATCTTTAATTAATTTAAAGGAAGCATTGCCTATTTTTAGTTGTGTTAGGAATTTCTATCCTTGAACTGTTTTGCACATGAGTTTTTATTTATTTTAACTACTCAAGTTTTTTGCATGATAATTATGGGAGGCTTCGTTGAATTTTCCTTTGTTTGTTGGCCTCTTCTTCTTTTATGTTAGAATTTGTATGCTTATCTGCTTTACAGCTGCTTTTCATGGTAGCGTACTAAGGTTGTTCTCACTCTTGCATGTTTTGTTTTATATCTTTTTTTTAAGTAATCATTTTACATGCTTCTAAGGTTTGGCTTAGTGGTTCATGTGACCACTAAACTCAGCATATGTGAAGATCTACATATGTGAATATTTAATTTGGTCCTGCTTAGACTATGAATATGTATGGCCATAGGGCTTGAATATTGCTAAACTATATGTAGATCTAAGTCTGATCAAGTTTAATTTAAAATTGAGTTGTGATGATTTTCATACCATGCTTTGCTTCATGAAGTTTTAGAGCAATTCGAAATCATTATAAGTTGTCATTAAGATCCTTTTCATGTTTGTGATGTGTTGTTAATGTTGGGGGGACAATGAAAATGGTCATCTTTGGATATCCTAAACCTTTTCATATGGCAACAGCTTCAAATGCTATTTAATTGATGTTATCCGTGACATTGATTGGATTAACCTTACGGTATATGTGTCAAACTTGTTTTTGTTCTGAAACCTTTTAGCAACCGGTTTCTTGTCCATGCATGCTTTACGTCATTTTCACCATGCTGTTAGTGATTAATTTATTTGCTTGCGTACCCTCAGGTTTTCCCAGTTCAGACTAATAATGTGCATATTCACATTGTTTGCTACTAGCTTTTTATTGTGTGCGCACCCAGTTCAGACTAATAATGTGCATATTCACATTGTTTGCTACTAGCTTTTTATTGTGTTCTGTATTGAATTCCCATCTTACTTTTGATGCATATTTTCATGGCTCCCACATTTTGATCATCGACACTGGCTTTTGGAATGATTTACCAATTAATATATAGGATTTTTAAGTAATATGGTTAGAAGTGTAACAAAATGGCACGCACAACATGTCAAACCCTCATGTAGTGCTCACTATGAACAAATGATGAAGCGTGGTTCATAAAATTTGAAGATTAAATTGATTGTTTTAGACAAGTCGCGATGGGGAAAATGAGCTATTGTTTTTTAAAAAAGTTTTCTTTAAGGTATATGCGATGACTCATATGGACACACTTGTGAAGTTCTAGGTGTTTTAAAAATGCTGCTTGATTTTGTGGTCCATTTGCATACCCAGAAGACACAAGCAAGTCATTAGAAAATTTACAGGGTTTTGTGGCTTATTTATATGCTGCTATTTGGAAATTTAGTTTGATGTAATGCTTGTTGGCATCTAACGAGAGTATTCTTTCCATGGCTAAATGTAGTAGCCATTTTCCATATAATAAAGGCATTTATTACTTGAGTATACTATTTAGATGATGGTTTAGTTTAACCATTACTTGTAAGTTGGTAAAACAAAATGTGGTCAAAAGACCAAAATAAATACAGGTCACCAATAGAGGGAGATCGCTAGTAATTGATTTTCTTGTGATATATAGCCTTTTTCGGAGGATCTATGTTTTCATTTTGCAAGTTAAAAACTTGTTTGATTTTCATGCATGTCTACTTGTATGCTATAAATTTTCAAAAGTTACCAACATATGCGCTTGTACATGTTGTTTTCCGACCAAACAAACTGTGCAATTTATTGGAAATAAATTTGAATTAAGGGCAATTTAGGCGTAGCTCAGTGAGAGAAGATCTGACTAACCATTAATTTGGAATAATGAGGGCTTTTTTCTAGCAGTAATTAGGGCAATCAAACCAGTTTGAATTGTAAGTAGGAATCTTGAAAATAATGTCCCTAGGAATAAATGTATCTCGTTATTTAGGAGTTTATGAATCTAGGGGTTCTAGTCAACTTTAGAATGTTTCAGAGAGGAGATTTATATGAACTTGAGCAACGCTTTTGCCCCAGCTTTTTTGTCAATTCTCCTTTGCATGTATTAATTTTTTTGTCAACTAACGTGAACTTTGTTGATTAGAACAATGATATAATTCATACTGAAGGTGTTTTTTTCTTCTCATGTGCTTCTATAAATTTCTAAGAGACACTTCTGAATTTGTGCTGCTGCTCCAAAAAGAGTAAAAAAATTAATGAACAAATACTTGCAAGGACAGCCATGAAGCAATTGATACGAATTAGGAGATGGGGATGAGTTTATCTTTGTTATCTTTGTAGATGTGATTGGAGATTCAAATTGCAGCATAGGCTATGAGCATGTTGGGTCATTAAAAATAAATTTCCTACGACTTTACTCTGGTATTCATTTAACTACTAGATCACAAGTTTGTTGGCATATGTACATTAGACGTGGCTTCAGTCCACCTATCTGAATTATAGCTTAAATGAGTGATATTACTTATGTTGCACTTTGGCCTTTTGAATTTTTACTTTCCACGGGCATATTCTTTGTCAATATCCAAGCACTTGTGATGTCAATTATGCTTTTTTGTTGCATTCGTTGTTTGGAACTTTTTTCAATGCTTTCTGTTTTTCTCCCCTTCTCTAATCAATTTAAGAAGGAAAGCTTACTTAGTCTAACTTAAAGATGGAGATTTGACATTTGCGGCAGTTCTTTTTGCTGACACTAAACAACCTACAAAGTGTTATTATCAAAAAATTATTACATTGCAGCATGTCATTCTTAGGGAGTGTAAAACTCCGCTGGACTGAAATTGAGCTCAAGACATTGATCTCAAACCTATTTTCTTCAAAAAGCTTAAGCCTGTAGATTAGGAATAAATCACTTGGCATTTCTAGGCTAACATTTTTCACCTGTCAAATGTGAGGCTAAACTAGTACTCACATTCATTTATTATATTATAGCATGTCATTTTCAGGCTGTGTGGAACTTTGGGGGATTGAACTTGGGCCTAATAGATTGATGTTTAAACCTGCTTTCCACCAAAAAGAAGCTTGAGCCTATATGTGAGGTTTAATCATTTGGCACTTGTTGTTGACTAGCTAAAATGTCACCTATCCAATGTGAGTAAATCAATACTCTCACATAAATTAATTTGGCAATCCTCTCCCCCTCTTTTTTCTTCTTTCATATGAGAGCTCTCAACGTGTGCCATCAGTCATGTTTTGTCTAACATAATCAAGTATTATATATCAAGAGCTTAGTCAAATAAATAGAGCTATTGTGGGAGTTACCCAATTTAAAACTTTAATCAATCATGGTAGATGTTCCAAAGTGCCTCAAATCATATGAACTACTCAATGTCAACAAAACCATCGGCTTTGATATCACTTGGTAGAGATTATGGAAAACCAGGATGCCAATATTGTGTTTGATAAACCAGTGATTAAATATGTTTTCTATTTCAAAGTTTAAAATCATGGGTGAGGGCCAACCATTTGTTGTTTTTTGCGCCAACATAATTTTCATATATCTGAAGTAGGATTGAACCAATACTTAGGTGCTTGATGTGCAAAGTTCTTTCATTTTTCATTGAGTCCTGGAATTACTCACAAAATGACAGCATCTTGAATGTAAGTGTGGTCTCCATCCTATGAGAACATGTCAGGTTTGCTCTGTCAATTTTAGCCGATGATTTAAGATCTGTTAAGCTTTCCTGAAGTTAAATGGTCAGTAAATCAGTCACAAACGTCTGCAGGAAGCATTACATATGAAGGAAAAAAAAAACATAAATTGAAGAGTACCTATTTAGCAAAATTCATAGTTCTTGGATGTTAATTTTTCTTTTTCCTGCATTTGTTTTTGTTATGTTATATGCTGTTACTTTAGATATTGCTATTTTCTGGCATGTTACAGCTTAATCATTAGCAAAAATTGAAGAGCATCTCTTTTTGGAAATTTCAAAGTTATCTGCTTATTCATCTCAGGGTGTGAACTTGGCTGAAAAATCAAAAACAAAAGGTGCAAAGATGGTTGAATACAGTACAGCTAAGGTGGGGCAGCAATTGCCGTCCCAGCTTGTTAATCATTCATTCCGTTCTAATATTAAGCCTGATGTTACTAAGACATCCCAACTTGGGAATTTTCACATTTTGAATCGGGAAAAGAATGGAGTTTCTCCTATTGACAAGGATAACTTGCATCCGAGAAATGGCACCAGAGTTGCCGCCTCACCCAGCGGTATTCCTCTAGCTGCAATTCCATATCTTAATGGTAAAGTCTACCCGAAGCTTAACGGGAAGGCCAGTGCTCTGACTTCAAGCTCATTTGGAGAAAAGAAGCTCCCTTCTCAGGCTCAGAACCGGAATGACTTCTTCAATTCTCTCCGAAAGAAATCATCTTCTGCTTCTTGCCAAGAAAATATCAATCGGGATCCAATGTACAAGGAGAAGTTGGATGAGGAGCCTTCTGTGGCTGTGGATGCAGTTTCTGATAAAGGGAAAGATGCTTCTTCGTTGATGCCCACTTTACAGTGTTCAGAGGCGAATGGCAACTGTTCTGGAAATCTTAAAGTGATTGAAGAGCCTGAGAGGTTAGTTCCGGATGAAGAGGAAGTAGCCTTTCTTCGATCCCTTGGATGGGAGGAGAATGCCAGGGAAGATGCTTTGACACCTGAAGAGATTGAGTCTTTCCTTACAGAGGTAATGTTGTTATACTGAAGTTATTGTTTCCTTTATTTAGTGATTACCTTGGAGTGGAAACTGACATTGTTTATTGTTTAATTTTCTAGTATGAAAAGAAGATGCCCGTTTCAAAGCTGAAGATAGCTAGCTCTTCGGCCAACTTGAGTTCATCATCTGAAACAAAAGCGGAAGCTTCATTTTGCTGAAACACTATACAGCTTTTATGGTTTAGAAGTTCTCTTAGTTTTGTGGCTTGACGAATTTTTTCCTGGTAAACATGGAGGGATTGGAAGGAAGAGTCTTGAGTGGAGTACTGGTAAGCTTACTTGTCCTAAACAGTGAGGGAGCTAGTTTTTTCCCCCTCTTTCTTGAGAATCGAATGTGAAAAGTGCAAAATAAGATGCAGTGCTTTCTGTCCGTTTACCTCCCTTTGTTAGCTTGCCAAATACAGGGTGCTTTCTCACTGTTTTTGATTTTTCTGATATTTTTTTATGGCTTTGTTGGGAGTAACATGAAAGGTAGATATTAGGTATATTATCAGGAAATTGCATTGCCACAAGTCATTTTTTTTAACAAGTCCTGTTGTTTTCATCTTATTTTTTTAAGTTATATCTTTGTTAGCTTGTATGCTGGGAATGTTTTGCCTATATGTATATATAGTCACAAGTGAAATGCAATTATGAGCGTTTGGTGACAGTCCTCTCCAGAAAGGTTGGTGTCATTATACTGAGAGAAATTATTCTGTGCGGACGCCGAATGCCGTTCAAGGACTAGCTAGAATGCATCACATCACCTCCTGCTCGGTACCCAACCCGGTACTGCTGACGGTGGACATTTTGATTGGTCTATGGATGGTAAACTGTGTTCGGCGTCCGCACAGAATAATTTCTCCATTCAATGACTGCAGTTTATCGAGTATGTGAAGGCAATTGTCTATTCACATGTTTGCGCGTACTAACTTTTAAATCATTCTATTGATTTGTGAGTTATTCCAGTATTTAGCTAGGTGGATGGTTGGATCCTACGTTGATTTGATCTATATGAAGAAATCTAACTTGAAGAGCAAGAGCATATTGAAGTTTTACTTGAAAATTACCTTTATATGTTTTGTCCTTTTTGGAGGGAAAGTTTTTTATATTTTGTTACATAAAATATTGGCCTTGAACTCTCCATGCATTCACGATTACTTCAACTGGTCGAACATGAAGAAAAAGAAGATCAATGGATGCAAAGTTGGGCGAAACTTATTACTCCTAATCAAAGTATTCGATCGTCATTTTGTTTAATAGATTGCTTTTGAAGGATGTAAAAAATAGCTAGAAATGACATATTACTTGGGCTATTGCACGAAAATAATTCAAAATTCATGGCATGTGAAGTAGCGATGCTAATTCAAAATACGCCAAGTAATGAGAAATTTTATGGCCAGGTTCACAAACAAAGCTCTGCATGGAGTTTTGGTTGGGTACCTATTGGTTACTCAAGATATGCATGGGTGGATTTCTCCCATAAATGGTACCGTTCGCCTTTCAGGATGTCGTACCTATCTATATCCACCCACTTTTTAAGTTTTTTGAACACGGTCCCCAATGGACTGAGGGCCTTGATGGCCTTGAGGTTTATTGACCTTTGATCTTGCTGCAAACTTTCAAGTCGCATATTGGAATTTATCATTGTCGCAATGTGATTCAGTGTTATGCAGTGAGTAGTGAGGATTGCAGTAATATATGAAATACGGTGATTAGCAATGTAAATTAGTTTATTCCTTGATGTTGGGTACTCACTCATGCCTTGGGTGTGGGTATGGGTATTCAATTCAGGGCTCTGTTCACAAAATAATTTTCTATCAAATTAAATAAAAAATGAAAATTAATTGTGCTAGTGATGAAGACATTGATGGAACTTGAGGTGGTCCTGTATCGATGACTGAGAAGCAAAGTTGCCAAGGGATCTTGAGAAAATCTCGCTTCAGGTTTAAGGATGATTTTCTTATTATTTTCTAAAATAAATTTAAAAAAAAAAATTAAATTTTTTTGTATTTTAAAAATATTTTAAGCAGAAGTAAAAAAAAAGAAGTCATAACTTCTCCGGCGTTACCCTCCATGCTGTAGTACAGGTTGAACAGCCGAACAATCTTCCTTTATATATATATATATAAGGTGATGAAAAAAAAAAAAAAGAGAAAAAAGTCTAAAAAGTGAGTAAATTAAAAAAAAAAAAAAGGTTTGTATTTTTATCTCATTGCAAGTTGCAACTTAGGCTTCGTTTGGGACGGTTTTTTTATTGTTTCTTAAAGCAACTTTCTAATACAAAACTTTTAATTTTTGTATTAAAAATAGCTTTAAGAAGTAATAAGAAAACCGTCCCAAACGAAATCTTAGTTATCACCTCGTTGACAGAGCTGCTTTGTGCACAAAGAAAAAATGCAAGCAGATTTGTCGCAATGCAACTCATGTTTCAACATGACAAAAAATTTAAATAAAAGTAATTATTAACGTTGTTCCAACGGGACTGGTAAATCCTATATTAGCATATAGATATGTTGGGCCACTAACCACTGATCATTGTCGGTCTTATGCTAGGCCACTGACAATCACTGGACTTCTATCGAGCCAATCGTTGTCTAACTTTTGCCCGTCGCCATCCTTTGTAGAACTTTTGCTTGGCCACCCACCATCGCCAGACTTTTGCCAGGCCACAAACTGTCATCAGACTTCGGTCCTGTAGTTGTCCGACAACGGACATTCGCCTAGCCGCCGACAGACGCCAGACTTTCTCCTGGTAGCTAACTGCCACCCGACTTTTATCAGACTGCCAAATTTTGGCCGGCCACCGATTGAAATCGTGTGGGCCCCGCCCAACTATCCCTTTTATTGTAATTTCATCGTCTTCAAATTAAAGGACGGATCAAGCTTTGTAATTTATTTAAATATTAGTAGAATCATTTCGTGATTTTCCCCTTTTTTAGGATTTTTCACGTAAAAAATATTATATTTTTGAATTCCCAATTTGTGTGCTGGATATCCGTACAACACATAAGCGAAAAATTTTAACTATATCGTCGCGTATATTCTACGCCGCCATAATGTTAAAATTGAAAGAACGCTCAAAGCAAATGTAAGAAATACTTTCAGCTTCATTGTAACATAAATTGCACAAAAGGGAAGAAGGAATATTTCTCATAATGAAAACATCAACAGTTTTTATCTTTGTGAAAATAATAAATCAAAATGAATAGTCCTTGTATCATACATAATTACTCCACATAGCTGATTCTACAGCACCATAGTCGATATCGATCAAGTAGCCAAAATCTAGGTTTTTCTCTGCATGGGGTTAAGACTTACATAAAGAGACTTATTTAGCAAATTCTAGAATAGGGGTGTCAATATTAGACGCGACCCAAAAACTCAATATGAAAAATTTCTGGATGGGGTCTACCCATTTCACAAACAGGTCAGATGTGGGTTATATGATTCGACCCGTTTAAAAAAAAGGGTCGGATTCGAGTCAACTTGCTAACCTGAAGTTGACATGGGCTGACCCGTTTGCAATCGAAGGTGGTGGATCTAGGTATGATGGTGATGCAATTGAAGGCGGTGGAGGAGAATTGGGCGGTGAGGGTTGCGGTCATGGGGATGGTGAGGCGGATGTGTTTACATGCAGTTTTGCGCCAATGAGGATTCAGAAGAGGCGGCGGAGACGCTGCGCCGGCTTTGGAAGGGAGGAATGCGCGGGATCCTCAATTATGGTCTCGAGGATGTAGAGAATGGAGCCTCCTACAACATAAACCTTGCCGATTTTCTTTCATCTGTGGAGTCATCAATTTCTCATGGATGAGGAGGATGTAGCATTGTTGGACAGAAAGCTCGCTAGGTTCAAGTCAAATCGGGTTGACCCGAATCCACAAAAGTGACCTATTTCCAAAAAAAAACATGATAGATTTGAGTCAGGTCAATTTATGTCGAGTCAACTCCAGGTTTAACTCAAACCCAACCCAATTTTGACAACCATATTCTAGAAGGCCATCTTCTTACCACGCACAGCTAACATGGCTAACAGCCTAACAGACGAACTTCAAAAGTTGTAAAATGGTCAAACAAAGCGTCGCAACAGATAACTTTGGCAGAAAATTCAAATTGCATAAAGAAAGCCTGGTGGGATATTTTTTTCACCAATATGAATAAAAACTAGCGGAAAACGCCTGTAACACCATTTTGTTTTATAGAAGCTTACTAGACTATATTTAAATAAGAATTTATATAAACTCAGACATTATATATTTTAAAATTTAAAAAAGGCAATATTTTAGCTGAAACCAATCTTATTCACCTTAATCATCTTTTCATTAAAAAAATAAATCATATAAAATTACAATAATCTTGTTTTTTTACACCACACAGGTAGACCTGTCAATATTGGATCCGACCCGAAAACCCGATCCGAACCCGACCCGAAAATTTCGGGTTTGGGTTGACCCGAACCCGAAGCGGGTCGGGTTCGGGTCTGGAAAACCGACCTGTTTGCAAAATCGGGTCGGGTTCGGGTTGACCCGGAAACCCGAGAATAACCCGAATTGACCCGAAATAACACATAAACCCGAACCCGAGTGCCCCAGCTGCCCCAAGACCGCCTGCCCGGCTGCCCGTCCACGTCGCGTCGCTTCACCCCTTCACGTCCCGAGGCCTGCTTTCTTCGCGTCCCGAGGCGGCGAGGCCTGCGTGACTTGCGTCATTTCCGAACTCCCGCGTCAGCCATCACCGCATCGAGCGGCTCGAACTCCCGCGTCGGCGTTAATTGGAGCCTGTCGGCGTCGATTCGAGCCATCTCCCGCCGTTCCGAACTCCCGCGTCGGCGTCAATTGGAGCTTGCCGGCGTCAGGTTGACGAGGTCACCGGCTCACCGCATCACCTCATATGCCGATTTCTACCCCGTTAGGCCATCACCGCATCGAGCCGCGAACTCCCGCGTGTGACCCGCTGCACGCGCGGCGAGCGTGATTTGGCGAAATTTTTGAATGCAGGCGCGGGACGGCGGGATTTGGCTGAAATAGTTGGGGTCGGGTTGACCCGAACCCGACCCGGGTCGGGTTCGGGTCCAAAAAATCAACCCGTTTGAAAAAACGGGTCGGGTCAACCCGAACCCGAATAATACCGGATCAATTTCGGGTTGACCCGAACCCGACCCGTAACCCGAAATTGACAGGTCTACACACAGGCTTTGTTTGATTGGAAATTTTGTGCTTATTCTGTTTTAAAACGATAAATTCATTTTTTCTTTAATGTTTGGTTTGTCAAATCATGTTCCCAATAACTCTTTTTTTTTTCATTTTCCTGATGCTTCTCCATTTATAAACTCCATTTTCTGAATCAATATTTTTTAAAACGTCTTTTACAAAAGTACTAAAAACCAAACGAAATCTCAACGAAATGACAGATTCTAACAATTTATATATTTTTTCAAATGCAATTTTTTTTCTATTTCAAGCACCAGAATGAGCATTGCCCATCAATATTAGTGATTTAGACATACAGAAATAAGATTATGAACACCCCTACATTTGCGTAGAAATAAATAGAGAAAGACAAACACATAAATTATTACAATATACACTCATGAATCTGAATACAATCATTTTGATGCCAATCCTACCTCATTGCGTTCAGCTTCAGCTACAAAAGTAGCGATAATTGGCATCAATAAGTATATATAGCACAGATTCTGCTGCTCGTGCAGGGGAAAAAAGGCTGCAAACCAAGCTCTGCGTCTACTGGAATGTTAAATCCCAAGGCTCTCACGGCTACGAGCACTGTGGCAGAATAAAGCAGAAAGTATATAAGTAGGATGACAAAAAATAGTTTTTTTTTGTTTTGAAGAACCGTCCGCTGCCACCCCGGGCCAGTCGAGAGCGCTTGGCGATGCGTAAACTCAGGTCAGCCTAGACGAGTTACCCACACCCATTAGAACTCGTGGCCCGAAGGAGGCGCTGCCGTCCGAGGGAATCGAACACGGGATGGGGGTACCCAACCGTGCTCGCCCACCAACCGTTTGACGAAAAAATAGTTGATTCGACGGAAGCAGAGAGTATTTTTCTTTGGCATAAGATGTATTGTTACCTCATGTCAATGAGACAATAATTAATATGTTTCAAGAGGTCTCCTCGTGACAAAAGGGTGTTCTAATAGCTGAGCAGCAGTGGGTCTAGCATTTGGATCCACCTGAACGCATCTTCTGATAAAATCCTGGGCGTCGCTTGATAGGTAACTGGGTACATTGGGTTGATCGCCACGGCCAATTCTGAAGAAAGCATGTTGCTGCAAATGAAGAAATCACACAAAAAGATTCAGGAGCAAGAATTTATGCAAACACAGTAAAAATCCGAAGGTAAAAATGAAAATTTCAGCTTCTATCTCGTTTGCTCGAACAGTAAAGCTTAGATCAACTTCTGAATTCACAGTGCTTAACAAATTATGAGACCATTGGATTCATATATAAACAAAAAAGGGAATTTGATTTTATTATATCAAATTATCAGCCAGCTAATGATGAGAAGATGGTTACACATTAACTATATCAAAGAAAATGTTAGATATGGGGTCACTAAGCGGCAGTTTGAGATCAATTTTACATTTTAATTTCATATTAAGTTATTAACATCAAAACTGATGAAGCAAACAGAAAATATATTCGATTACTTTAAACTTTAAATCACTTACCCACTCGACATTCGGATAAGGAATCTGACGAGTCAACATCTCAAGTACAGTGCAGCCCAGGCTCCATATATCAGCTGCACGCCCATATGTCTTCTTAGGATGGACAACCTGATAGAAACAACTTCTCAGCACGGTGGTGTTGCATGTTTAAACAACCAACACAAGTTTGAAGTCTTTATTGGACTATGGCTTCATTTGACACAATTTTTTTATTGCTTTATGAAATAATTTTTAATACTAAATTTTTAATTCAAAAATCTTTTATATTACAAAATTATTTTATAAAACATTAAAAAGAGTCACAGGCTTCGTTTGGGGCAGCTTTTTTATTGATTTATACATTAATTTTTTAGTACAAATTTTTTTAATTAGAAATTTTTGTACTAAAAACAACTTTAAAAAATAATAATAAAGCTGTCCCAAATGAAGCTTAAATCTTAAAAAGCAAATATATTTCAGCATCGCTTATCCTAAGCTGCTTGTATTATTCAAGGTCTTCTCAAAACATGCGGTTAACAAAATAGGATACTGATTTTACGAGATACAAATATAATCTGCACATTTAAAAAAAATAACATCGTATCCGACATAAAAAGAAAGGCCTTCCAGTTTAAATGACTACAAATCTATGTTCCACATTCTAAAGTTTAATGAAGATTAATGATATAACAGACTAACCTCTGGGGCCATCCAGTACACACTTCCTTTGCAAGATTTCAGATCATTAAATTTGGAAATCTGAAATTGGAAACAGTAATATAAGATATAAAAACTATAGCATATAAAAAAACTCTTAAAAAAACAAAATGAAAAATACATTATACCTCCTTCGCTAATCCAAAATCTGCAAGTTTGACAGAACCATTAGCATGAACCAATATATTTGCACATTTGATATCTCTGGAAAGAAAGAAGTAGATTAGGCGACTAATGGTTGTGAAAAACTAGGTTCCCAAGGCTAAAGAAAAAAATCATAAACAAAAAAATGGTGGCAGATTATCAAGACTGCAACACCAACAGCGAGAAAATATTTTTGGAAGATACTGTAAAAAACATATCATGAATTACAGGAATCTCCAACCGTGAGATTGATCTTAGAAGGTTTCTATACAAAAAGTTGAAATAACAATGGATAGTAAAATTACTTGAATCTATATTGTATCCAAAGTTTATTAAAAAACATTTTGGCAAGCCAGTCTAAGCAGTTCAACAAAAATTTGCAGGCACTCCATTTTAATGGGATCACATAACCAATATACGATCTCCATAACCATGGTTCTTAACTGAATCATTTAAATTTAGAAGCCACCAATCAACCGTAGAACTAGATTAAAGAAACCTTACTGCCAAGTATTGTATCTCCTCATATTTTCTAACTCTCTAAATACCCCTTTCCAATCCGAGGCCAGCCGCAAAGTGAGTGCTTTCTTGGAATTTTGTCGAAAGTAAGTAAATATGATGTGGCACAAGATGCCCATGCAGGAAGAAGTTGACCAACAACTAAAAGCCCATACCAAGAAGTAGGCCAATAATAATAATCAAGGTCCATGATGAGGAGCAAAGTCAAATTTATTAAGTAGAACTTATATTTTATGTGTGATTTTAAATTTATTGTTGCAAGTATACTTTGAAAATGTAAATTTTGAATTTTGAAATTTGGTTTCTTAGATGTTGAGAGAATGTGATTTTTATTAATGTGAAAATTTGTCTGAATAAAAGTATTCAAATAAACATTAGCCAAGCAAGGTTGGCTGGCAAAAGCAAAAAGAAGGGGTGATTACTTGATAGATAACTCCTAATCTCTAGTGTGGCCGGCCCCCCTCATTTTCTCTCTTTTTATGCATTTCAAAGTTAATAGTTGTAAACATATTTATATTTGCTGAACTGGAAAGTGATATGATTCTTCTTTCGTCATTAAGATTATTTATACCAATTCATTGGTTCTCAACAAAAATATGCATATGATAGAGGTTGAGGAAACAACCGACAATAACAGAAATCTAGAGTTTGATTCAAAACCAAGAAATAAACAAGAGAATCATCCCTTAATAGCACATGCCTCAATATTCTCACACATATACCTCGATATTATAGAAGTTACAATGCTGGCAAGTTCAACGCGATAAAAGAGCAAAGTGTTTTACTCACCTGTGCACCACGTCGCGCTCATGAAGGTAATTCAAACCATTGAGGATTTGTCTTGTATATGATGAAACTTGTGTATCGCGCAAATGATACTTTTGATAAAGAGAAGCTATTGAGCCTTGTGTTACAAGTTCAAGGAAGATGAAAAGCTTTGATTCTTCCTGCAAAAGAAAATTTTACCATAAAATTCATTAACTACAAAATCATTAGACGAAAAACAATTATAAAATATGACAATCTTTTACATATGACTGCTGAAGTTGTGCTTGCAAAATAATGTAGAGAACGAAAATCTGGGATGGGCAAAGAAGCAAATACTGCATCAATGTACTTTGCAAAAAGATCATCTAATCCTATAAAAATGTGTGTAGTACTAAAACTTTTAACTCTAAAAGGCAAAATATATTTCCAAAAGACCTACGCCAACCCCAAATAGTTAGGATAAGGCTAATGATGACAAATTCAAAATATCTGACGTTTGTTTTATTTTTGTACAAATTCTTTGATAATGGATCCCATTTTCAGGGACAAAGAAATCATAAAGATCTATGTCTTTACTTAAAATATATGTTATTGTGTCTTGTAATGGATTTCTCTGTATATTCGCAAAATGAGTACTATTGGGCAAGGTGAATTAGAGAAAAACAAAAGTTTGTTGGCATTCTAAACTTCTCCATTCAAAGCCTATCCAAAACAATACCATTTTATGGCAAATAAATTACTTAAAGGTATTTCATGGAGAGAATATGATGCTTTCTTTTGATATAAAATGATGAAAAAAGGCTGTAAAAATTTTATCAACATCAACTATAAACCCCTTGTTTAGAGAAAACCTTTTTTGAATGTTCAAGTCAAACAACAAAATCCCTCAAGTAAAATCAATATGCCCACAAATTGCATTTTTTCATGCTCCTGCCAGTGCTTGGAGTTCTACTGGTTAAGATTAATTCCTTCTGTTTTTGGGTTAAATATGAGCTAGCGTAAAAGTTGACATAAAGTCACTCTTCAGATAACTCTACAGAACTACACATCAAAATTTTACTGCTAAAAAATAGACCATGGAGTTCGAACATAATTCCCATACTTGTTTATAGGGTTCAAATTTCTTGACTTTGCTGTGCCATCTATTCAATATCCAGCAATATTTATAGTAGAATTTAAATCATAAAGTTTCAAAATAAACAAGAATCCATCTTGAAAACATAAAAAATTAAAAGTTATCTACCAATGAGTCAACAACTTCAAACTTGCTAGATTATCATCAGCAGCAGCACCATCTTTCCAACTAATTGGGGTCGGCCTTATAAATTTTCCATTTCCACTCACATTTTAATCTGTGTACATAATGTTATGTTTAGTTTATGCAATTCTTTAATTACAATTTCTTGCTAAGCAAAACTTTGCGATGCCGCATCTTCATATTCACATTGTCTACACTTTATTGGTGAATCATCTGTGTTATTCTTGGCATGCTAAAGCCACCTCATACAAACTTTTCCGCAATAGGTGCTACTCCCATGCTTCTCTAACACAAATCTTTTCGCATTCTAATCATTCCTAATTTTACCATGCCTCAGTTCGGACATTCTATTTTTTGCAGCACATAGTTCTACCTATTTTTTTGCCGGTAAACACTCAAATTCATATATAACTTACATGAGGTCTCTAGGACAATGTTACATTTGTATAATATCCAAGAACCACTTTCCATTTTCTACTAAGATCTAATTCTCCAAGTTAATGTTAGCAAACAGAAGCTATGAGCAATTCCTTCAGAAAACAGAGTTGACTATCAGCTTCGATAGAGAGAATGAATTTCAAGTGATTTAAGATCTTTTCTCGTCTGTAGAGAAGGATTGGAAACAATCAGGCAGAGAAATAATATAACAGTAAAAAAAATCAGAAAGGACCTCATCTATAATGAATATCTAATTAAATAAGATAACCAATCATGACAAAAAATATCCAACAAGCAATTGAGAAACTCAGTTTAAATTGTTCTCAAAACAATCACTAACAAACAAGCAGCATGTGGGAACATCAACTACATAATAGAAATCCTCAATAAACTATATCATAAAACAGAACCAAAACGGTTCCTTAAAGACTGGAATCAAAACCGACAAAGAATAATGATGATAAGAAAACAGAAATAGTAATGCAACGATACCTTATCAGTTCCATAATACTGGACAATGTTTTCATGCTCAAACTGGCTCAAAAGTGCAATTTCCTAAGAAAAAAACATTAAAAAAAAGTTAGAAGAAAGCACAAGTTCTCAGCTGAAGAGACTGGAAAAGTTTATAGCTTTAATGATAGTAAAACGTGAAATGGTAAAGAGGTGGAAATAATAAGTATGGAACCATCTCACTTGTTCAAGTTGAAGAATGCATTGCTGAGCATTGTTTCCTGTATCGAGCAAAGACACCTCTTTAACAGCAATAAATGTACCATCACTGCAAATACAAACATACAATATGAGTTCTAAGGAAAGCAATCGATTGTTCTTTTAGGTAAAATAATATTTATTATGGAAATTCCAACAAAGGATAAAGGATTGGCGTTAGGCATACAGAAAAGTAAGTATATATAAACTTCGCAATTTTACACGTTTATAAGATCTTATGAAGCCGTTGAAATGGCAAGGATCTTATTGAATAGAAGAAAATGTATTGCATGCTGCCAAATCCCCCAAAAAATTATCAATATTTGTGAAAAAAAAAATGTATTGCATGCTGCCAAGAAAATTTGAGGGTCTTACTGCGACAAAATAAGAAGTTGGAGTGATAGCGTTAAATCGGTAAGGGACTTATTTTTTCTCAAAATAACAAAGAGAGAAACAAGAGAGACAAAAAAAGAAGACATTCCTAACTATTTAAGGGAAAGCACTCTATAGAAATTTGAATATTGCAGACTGTTCCTTTTTGTTTATCTCTTATAGGTTCTGTTTTTCTTTTTACTTGTAACTGGTAGTTATTTTAATACATGGGCTTTGGCCCCAAAATTTCTCAAAAAAAAAAAAAAAAAAATACAGACTAAAAATAGAAACATAAGATTTAGCATCTAACTTGTTTTGAATGCCCGTGTGGCCATGTTCATTATTTCCCATATATATGCAATGTCCTGCTTGAAGTTTAACGCCAAAAAACAAAATAAAAACGAATAAAAAAGGCGAGACTACCGAAATAAACTTACTCGCTGATCCCTTCATATACTGTTCCAAAGGAACCACTCCCCAGACGATGTCCGCGCATCCAAGATCTGATTTTTTTCTTGAAACGCCCATTTGGTGAGATTACGAATTCGGTGGTAGAGCTGGACGAATCATCGTCAATAGACGTCGTGAAGGACCCAGCACCGTCTGACGTTTCTCCTTCCATCGCAGCTCTCTCCAAACCTTCACCAGCTCCTCCACTTCCAACACTTACATCATCATCATCATCATCATCTTCCTGCTCATCCGAGTCAAAGGATCTCCTCCTATCTCCCACCTCGCTCTCATCGGCCGGAGCGAATGACCTCACTATATCCCAAGTCGAACTTGCTAAGTCGTGAATAGGAAGTGCAATCGAAGGCGGCGGGGACAGAATTGACCTTACAGGTGGAGGGGGAAGAACCGAGGCTGGAGGCGGAGGTGTGAGAACCGGCGGTCGGTTACCCTTAATTCCTACATCGACGCGACCACTCCTGCCTGCAGACAACCGCTGGATACCCGCTGCTTCCTCATTTCTAACCCTCGTTACTTCACGGAGCGCAGCTAAGTCGGCCGCGGGTCTAAAATCAATGTCCTCGCTAATCACCGACGCCACAGGAAGTGACACGGCAATCGTGGACGCAAGGACGGACCGAGCTGGCGAAGGAGCAAGAACTGATACTGAAGGACTAGGAGCTGTAAGGACATGCGAGAGATCACCGATAAGTCCTTCATTCCCGTCGCCATTTATTCGAACGGACGATTTCAATACCTCCCCCGATTTCTCGTCTTCAACCCTAATTTCCTCAAGGACCAGTGCTGTTTCTGCTGCGGGTGGTCTAACTCCAACTCCCTCACCACCCACTACCGCCTCGGCCCTACCCTCCTCCGGAAGATCGGAGGTAACAGTAATATCCTCAGAATCAAGTAATCGGGAACGAGGAAGAACATCGGACGACGATCGAAACTTGAGAGACGCCTCATACGCCGCAATGGGTATGCCGAAGTCCTCGGGTCCAGATAATCCAAGGCTACGGTAAAGATGCTCGACCTCTCCTTCTATGCTTCCTCCGATGCGGAAGCTACTCTGACTCGAGTAATCCCCCGGAGAGAAATCGAGCGACCGCGAAGTGTTCAGCGACGTCGACTCGTCCGACGACGCCGACGTCCACGAAACATCGTAATCGATATTCTTCACAGCGTTCCGCCTCTCCAACCTCGGCTTCCGCGCCTCCGCCGTCTTCCCCTCTCGCCGGCGGTGGCCCTTCTTGTTACCGAAAGAGAACATTGGAGAGCATATACTCCATCACAGGAGAAAAAGCCTAGGGTTTCTTCGATATGAGAGGGAGAAATCCAGAGTTTCTTGTCTGATTCTCCTTCTTCGGTCCACTGGAATACGCGGTTGACTGGAAGCTGCTGATGGTGGACGCGGGATGAGGTAAATGGATTAGGCGAGACCGCGAGACGACGAGGATTTTTTCGACTCCTACCCGTTTTTTGCCACTCAAATTTGAACTTTTATTGTATGCAGTGAACTTACACGCACGGAGAGGAAGATTCGGTTTTAGACAAAAAAGTATTTGTACCGAGTTTTTTGTCAGTGTACTGAGTTTTTTCAAAAAACTCGATACAGACGCTTTGTTGCCTAAAACCGAACTTTCCTCTGCGTACGTTCACTGGATAGAATAAAAGTTCCTCAAATTCACGAGTAATTATTGTGTCCAAACATCAAATGCGTACAGAGATCAATAACAAAGCCCCATATCATTTGAGAGATCAATAATAAAGCGTCACGTCACTTGGGTGTTCGGTATTAAGCATTCAGTATTACTCCGTATTTGTCTGAATTTCCGATTTTTTATCCGGACGTAATAACTTTTCCAAAATCAAGGCGAATTATTACGTTTGGTGACCGGACCGTCCGGACACGTCACTCGGATACACTGGGCCCCGGATGTATCTGGATGACGTGGCGCGTCTGGATTGGTGTCCGGACGAATCCAGACACCAGACGTAATAATTTTTCCAAATTCACGACAAATTATTAGGTCCGGACATCCACTAAAAATTTGTCATGTGGATTGCGCTTTTAGTCAAAAAAGCACAGTCAAAAGCACAGGTAAAGTGTAGGTAAAGCACAGTCAAAGCGCACAGTCGAAGCGTAGTCCACGTGACAAATTTTTATTGGATGCCCGGACTTAGAAATAGACCGAGTGACCGGACCTAATAATTTCCCCTCAAATTCACCCTCTCAGAAGTAAAAATTGCGTCGTCGGTTAGTAAATGGGTGAAAATTGGGTGGAGCCATTATTGCAAGAAATTATTAGGTGCGGGTGGGTGGCGCTGCCCTCTGCGCCTTTGCAAGTTGGAGCGGATGGTTGTGAAAAAAAATATAAAAAAATTCGTGAGAATATTCTATATATTTGATAATCATTAAATAAATTTTGTTATTATATTTGATGATGATAATAAATTAATAATTATAAATTGCTGCATTTAATTATTTAAAGAGACGAAGTTGATATAGTCTACATTGGCGAGGCAAAGAATTTTCGCGGGTTTTTTGTTTCCAATTATAACATTTTAGGGAGGGAACTGTCGACGTATTATTTGACTAGTTCTTTGTAAGCTTTGGTGACCTGCTGGGCTTTGTAAGCTCATTATATGTGGTTTAAATTTTCAGGTCCGAACAAGGCAACTGGAATGGAGTTCGATCAGAATATCAGACGAATCCTTTCACTATTTGATTCCGGGGCATCACACACTCTCTCTCTCTCAGGCTCAAACGGACAACACACTCATGTAAGAGTCGGAGCAGACGGATCGTTCGCTCCTCCCTCTCTTCCGCCTAGTTTGGGATGGATGAACCAGCAATGTAGCGACATGATCTCTCTCCTTTGCGTCATCTTTCTCGGAGACTTTGGCGGTTGATCCGGCTTCATGGAAGTCTCATTTCCTTTCCCTCGGTCATTTCTTATGGAGTTTACGTTTTTTCTTGCTCGGTGTTTTCCTCTTTCGTGTGGCCTTTTGGATTAATAGTGAGTTGTCATTTGAATGATCCCAAATTTTTGAATGGGAATAGCTCTCGTTCTTTTAGAGATGCTTTATCTCGTGCTTCTCCATCTTTAAACTTTCATGACCTCAAAATCACCTCTCATCGTGGCCGGGTTGCCATCACTATGAATTTCAGAAGAGGAAGTTCTTGCACTTGTTGCCCCATTAGAGTTTGTTTTGGTTGGAAAATTTTTGGGTAAGAGATCATCTATTAATGCAATCAGATTTTTTTTTTAACCTCAAGCTTTATGGTGATTTCTCTATGATTGTTCTCAACTTGAAGCATGTGTTGATTAAGCTTATCAATGATCTGAATTATTATAGAGTGTTTGCTCATCGCTCATATTTTGTAAACAATTATTTTATGAAAGTGTTCAAATAGACACCTACATTTCATATTGAAGTTGAATCCCCTGTTATTTTGATTTGGGTTTTGTTCTCCAACCTAATGCCTCGCCTCTTTTTTCCTTGAATCCTTCATGGCCTTAGTTCTTTGTTTGGCTAGCCTAAACCTCATAATGCCACTTCTTTTGGCACTCATCCTGTTGTTGCACTTGTTCTGGTTGAGTTAGATGTTACCAAGCAATTTTCGGAGAAGGTCTGGGTTGGTCCTGAAAACTTGGATTATATTTAATCTTTTGTCATGAAAAATTTTCCTTCTTGCTGTTTTCATTATAAATTGTTGGGCACTCGAGACAGGATTGTAACATTTTACATCCTCTTATTCCTCATATGATTAACCCTGTTTCTATTTATGAAGCTAAGAAGGTTGTTAATGATGTGCATGAATATATTTCTGTTGATTTATCCGTGCATTAAAATGTCGATCATGTGGTTGTGGGTCATTTGGATAATGGGCATTTGAATCATCCTTCGAATGCTAGTGATGTGGGGCTTTCGGCTGAGTTCGAATTGTTGGTTTTGGATATCTTTGTTGCTTCTCTTGCTATCGTCTTGTCTCATATAATATTATGGATTTGGAGGCTTGTGGGGACACTAATAGGGGTTGATGAAAAATTTAGCTTTAATGGCTAGTGGGGAATTTACTCATGTTGCTTCTCATATGGAGATGATGAACAATGGAGTGTGTGATGTTAATATCGTGGTGCTGATTTATTTTGCTAGTAGTTTGGTTATTGCATCTCATGACTCTCCCTTGGCTGATTTCGAAGTGGTTATGTATTCTAATAATGATGTTTTGAATGTTAATGTGACATTGATTGATGTTCATATTTCTCTTTTTCCTAGTAAGGCCTTGAAAGCTCAATTGGCTTTGAATATGGATGAGACTTCTGTGAATCATACTGATTGGATGGAGGAATCCTTATCATCTCATTGCGGGAGTGTTGATGAGGATTTAGATGATCCTACGGATGAGTTTCAAGGCATGTATAGTTTGAATGTGAGTCGCATTATTGAAAAAGCCTTTTCCCATGGTGACAAGCATCGTAAAAGAAAAAAACTAAGAAGAAGTAATTTTGGACTTGTGAATCTTTTACTCTTCTTGCTTGTCATGCTCTTGACGGGAGCTTTTGTTGGAGCATTTGCTTGGTTGGCCTTTGTTTCAATTCAAGCTATCTTGGTTAACTTTGGTTGTTTCTTTTATTTATGTTTGTTCTATAGAATTGATTGGAACAATTTGTCATAGATTTTATTTCAATTATTGTATTTCTTGGTAGCTTTAGTTTCATTAAGGATATGTAATTTTTATCCTTTTAACGTGTAGGCCCTTTTGTGGGTTAAAAAAAAACTCCTAAGCTGAACCGTGAACGGGCTTGAGCTATACTAGTTAATGAACTCATGAGTTAAGCAATGTTTATATACCATATCCTTTGTGCGAGGCCACATGGTCTTTTCCTCTTTTGAATTTCCACTTAAGAACTTTGGTGTCACCCATGGTCTTCTTATTTATATATTTATGAGTTGGATCTTCATATGAAGTTAAGGTAAGAATTTAGAGGTGTCAAAAGATTCCGAAAAATCTCTTATGATGTTGACAAAAAATTTGTTGATATTAATTGTTCAATTTGTTGCTTAAAAATGAAATTTTTTATATGTATAGCCCCTGTTTCTCTATGCAATATACATGCTTGGTTGATGTTCACAATTAAGTTATTGGAAGTTATGTTGAATATTGATGAAAACTCAACTTTTATGCAAGAGCGATTCAAATTTCATAGAATTTTCCTCCCATAGCAGACTGAGCTCTTTGGATGTTTGTTTCACTTTTCTTGCATATATTGATTGATATAATAACGACATTAGTCAATGTTGCAATATTAATCAAATTTCTTATTCAAGTTTAGGAGGATTGTAAAGTGTTATTTTAAAATTGTATTCCACAAATTATTAGAATATCATGTCACCCTAAATGTTAATATATGATGGAGAATGTTGAGAGAAGTCTATCAACGATATTTGATTTATCTGATGTTATTTGTCAGACTCTTACTCTATGATATCAACCTATGCATAAGAGGTCAAGGGAAAACATATATGTGGTTATTTATCATAATGTTGTTTGACATCATTAACTTATGTGGAATATGTCATAGGAAACCCATAAAGAATGTTTGAACTTTAACCTATGCAAGGTTATTGATACATAATCATCAAAATTTCATGATCGGGCATGAATCTCGAGGTAAAATCAAGTTTGAAACTTCTGAATTTAAAATTGGGACCATCCAAACTCCGATTTCAGCAAACTTATAGTCATTCTGAACATATCTTAAATATGAACCCAGCGTCACCAAATTTGACTCAATATGAGCCCAAATGGGTCTAGATCAAGGACCCGAAGCACTGTTGGAAGGTTCAAACACAATTTGGATGAGCAAATGGTTTCCAAATGTGACATGCTTATAGTCGAATCGAGCAGCTCGACGAGACAAATCCAAGATCATGGAATTCTAACATCATTAAGACCTTCAAATGTCTATCAAACCATCTAGGATTAAGCGATTCAACATCGACCGTCCATCCAAACCACTCACCATTTGCCCTTGATCCTCCTCCTTTTTACGGGCCATGCCACTCTAGAAAAATTATAAATAGACCCTCCCTTTTTCTTAAAATGGGACCACAAGCCTAAGGAGAAAAGAGAGAGATCAGAGATTGCTCTTGCCTCGTTACCTCCTCGACTACAACCTGGAGTTCCGCCGGACTATCACTTGAGGCCCTGAGCTCCGCCGGACCGCCTGATGCTCTGAGTTTCGTCAAACCACCACGAGGCCCTGAGCTCCGCCGCACCACCACATGACTCCTGGAGTTCCGTCGGACCACCACTTGATGCCATGAGCTACGTCGGACTATCACCTGAGGCCTTGAGCTCCGCCAGACTACCACCTTACGCATGGGGTTCCGCTGGACCATCACTTGAGGCTCTGAGCTCCGCCGTACCACCACATGACACCTGGAGTTTAGTTGGACCACCACTTGAGGCCATGAGCTCCGCCGGACCACGAACTGAGGCCTTGAGCTCTGCCGGACTACCACCTGATGCCTGGTCATTTATCAATTTAAAAATTCATTTTAAATTCATTTTGAATTCATATCGCTCTTCATTTATCAATTAAAAAAATCATTTGACATCTAAAAATGTGTTTTAGCTGTGTTAATTAAAAGATAAATAAATAATTATTCTAAATTATATCAGAGGGTTACTTAATTATGTTAACCAGTTGTGTATGAGATTGAGAGAAATCAATCAATGATGCTTCACCTATTTGAGATTATTAGTAAGTGTGTTTAGATCATCTAAAGTTACATGTCAAAGCATTACTCAATGACTTCAATTAATGTGGCGGAGTTGATTGAGGCTTCGTTTGTTTTTTTTTTTTTTTTGTGCTTTGTTAAAAGAAATTTTAAAAAAACACTAGTTCAGAAAATGGAGAAAAATGGAGTTTTTAAAACGGAGAAGCATATAAAAAGCTTTCTTACAAACTGCGAAAATAGAAAAAAAAGGAGTATGGGAACGTGATTTTGGACAGGAACTAAAAAACAAAAAAAAAAAAAAAAATCTTCCGTTTCCAAACGGAAAATGCAAAAAAACGCTCAAACAAACAAAGTATGAATCTCTATGTGAATAATTGTAACTCAAATGGGAGCGTGCAATTGCCATATGTATCTTGAATCAAATACGAAAATTATTTTGACTTTGGATTATCCTTCAAAGTTTATGGCTATGACTTAACTCAAGTAGTAGAAGTTCAACTAGGTGGTCAGATGACATAAGTCGGGTGATAGCGATCAGATGACATAAGTCGAACAATGTTAGTTGGAAGATCATAGTCGAACAACAAATGATAGAATGTCCGTAGTCCAGTAATCATGGCCAGAGGACTAAAGTCAAGCGACGATAATCGACGAGCCGTTAATCAAATCTGAACTCATACAGGATCACTCTTGTTGTCCATGAGTTCCTCTAATCACAATGTTTAGTTTGATTATAAGTTCATAAAAATCACATTTTTTTAATGATCTTAAATTTAATTTTAAAACATTTGAGAAACCATGTGAATTTCAATCTACAATGGTTGACAAATTGGAAACGCAATTAGGGCGTGAAGCACGGAAAAACCATACTTTACTTTAATAATAATAATAATAAAATTATCTGGAAATCTAACGCTGTATTTGCATTTGGTTGACTTTTTTTTTCCTTGTCAACGATTGAAAAAAAAAGTCAAATATCCTAACTAAAATTTAAAGTAATAACATTTATTTTAAAATTAAAATATTATAATAGTTGATTAACTAATTATATAATATACTCCTACTAAAATAAATTTATATGAGAGGGGAGTAATTGAAAAGCATTTGTTTTAAATATTTATTATATTTTTTTCACAATTATATAAGATAAGAACAATGGAAGTTTCTGTGTGAAAACAATGGAAGTTTCTCCAAAAAAATCTGAACTCTGAAGTTTACGAGAGCAAATTGAATTTGAATTTTGACAAGTTGACTATACAAACAGATAAGCCTTTATAAAGAACTTTTATTAGGTCCGGTGTAAGGACGTAGAGGAACGTCCGGTCGGAGGCAAAATCCCACAAAAAAAACTCGGTATTTGTTCGGTATTGCTAGGTATTATTTGATAATAACGAGGAATACCGCTCTGTGAATACCAATACCGAGTTATACCGAGCTATACCGAGTTTTTTCTAGGAAAAACTTGGTACAACTTTTGTATAACTCGGTATTGGGTCTTCACGTGATGGTATTCCTCATTATTGTTTGGTATTGCTCGGTATTTGCTCGGTTTTTCTCGTTTTTGGCACGATTTGGCCTCCGACCGGACGCTCCTCTACATTCAGTCAGAGGATGTAATAAGGGTTCCTTTATAAAAGCCCTTCCGCTTAATTTATTTTCAACTTAAATCAATGAAAAAAAAATTTAAGGGACCAAAGTTTCAATTGGGACGACTTTCTTACTGTTTCTTAAATCAGTTTTTTAGTACATAATATAATTTTTGCACTAAAAAGTTATTTTAAGAAGCAGTAAAAAAACTGTACCAAACGAAATCTAAGATATATCTTTTAAAGAGACATTCCTATTATCCTTACTTCTATATATAGTCTTGCATATCGTAGCCTTCATACAGACTTTATCGCGGTCGCCAACTCTCCGTCGTCACCGACTCGCACTGCTACTGTTGCCTCCCCGCACTCGTGGCCTCACGATCCCTGTTTGCCCTGATCGTCAGTAGAGTCGCACGCGCTCATTTTTTGAATGAAAACATGACCGTTGGTCAGGTCGGGCGACAACCCGCATGAGTATGATCCGGGTTGAAATACCTGACCCGTATGAAAAAATGGGTCAGATTTAGGTTGTGTTAACTAGTGTCACGTCAGTTCCAGGCTGAACCCAAATCCGACCCGTGATCTAATTTTGACATCCCTAACAAATTTTATGGCACATAATATTTTTAATAATTAAAATAAATTAGTAGTCTTTATCGAATCTGCTAAGTCTGATCATACGAGACTTAAATAATTTATTAATAAAAAATAAATTTACAAGTCTATGAATGAGATGACTTAAGCCTCACGATAAGATAACGTCATTGCTTTTATCGGATCAAGTAGGACAAATTAATATAAGAGCTAATAAATAATTAATCTGAATAAAAAATTTATTAGGTATCTCTTAATTATATAATTATTTAATAAAATAACACATCTGCTAATGACAGCCTAATTATATCACAGCAGAACTTGGCATTATTTCCATGTTAAGGAATTCCTGTTCTCTAAACACTCAACTCTCACTTGAACTTTTATTACGTCCTCTAATTCTACGTTCGGTCAAAGGATTGTTACTCGATTTTTGCTCAGTATTTGGTCGGTATTGCTAGGTATTGTTTGATAATAACGAGGAATATCACTCTGGGAAGACCAATATCGAATAATACAGAGCAATACCGAGTATTACAAAAAAATACTGAGTTTTTTCTAGAAAAATCGGTATTTTTTGGTAATACTCGGTATTGCTCTTACATATATTGTGATGAAATAAAATTACTTAAATATCAAATATTATTTGTAAATTTATATGATCTACTCCTACTCCGACGCACTTCACGCCTTCGCCGCCGCTCCCCTGCTGTCCTACACCTTCACCTTGACCCCTTGATTCGCATCCACACCATTCACACCCCCTTTTTTTTTTTAATAATTGTCCTTTATCCAGTGGAATGGAGCATTCCCACGTCACAACAGATAACGTCTCTCCTCTCCCGTCCTCGCATTCCATCACTTCATCAACCAACGAAGGCCCCACCGCCACCGGCCTCCACCTCCACCGCCCAGCTCTGGCTAAAATGGCTGCCACCGCTGCAGTATCCATCTCCTGGTTTTACTCCTGCACATCTCGCCGACTCCTCTCAATCGCCATTCTCAAATTCACCGGCCCTCAATTTCCTTTTTCGTCTGCCGACGACCTCTTCACTGATCAGCTTTCAATCGCTTACGTTCAAAACAGAAGAAACCTTCTGAAAATTACAGGTTCTATGACGCAAGGGGAGGTAGAAATCGAGACAGAGGAAGCCGGCCTCGCTTTCTTCCATCCAGCTCGTACTCCCACGGAAGTCGACGTTGGAGGCGAATCCCCTTCTTCGTTCCAGATGGTGCGGCCCGAATCCCCACAGAACACCGGCGTTATGGCTTTCTCCCATCAAAATATACCGGCGAAATCTGCTTCCATCTCTTATGATTCCATGATTCACGGAACACCGGCGTTATGGCTTTCTCCCATCGCTTTTTCTCCCATCCAGCTCGAACTCCCACGGAACTTCGGACTACCACGGCATTATGGCTTCGCAGTGGCTCGGACTCCCACGGTTCCGGCGTCTGGCCCGAATCCCCTTCTTCGTTCCAGATGTGGCGCGTCCACTGCGAAGCCGGCCTCGCTTTCTCCCATCCAGATCTTTGGAGGCGAAAAAGCAGAGAAGAAGAAAAATGCTGATTTACGGATCGTTGGGGCAGCGGAATGAAGAAAGGTCGCGGCATTTACGACATTTTTACGCTGGAAATTGCGGAAAGCAGCGGACCGCGGGAGGCATGAGAGGTCGCAGAAAGCAGCCACGGACCGCGGAAATTTTTCTGACTCAGCTCTGCCGCGATGCCCCAAACAGACATTTATTAATTTTTTATAAAACAAAGCAGCCCTGAAGCCGTCCCAAACGGACCCTTAGACGAGCAGGTCTAGTAAGCAGACGTGTTTAACGGCCCAGGAAGCCAGGCCCATATACTTCGACGCTTACACTGTTCCCTGGCTCACTGTAAAATGCTATCTCGAAGTGTCCGGCGAGAATGGAATGATTGTCACGATGTCGTTAACGTGACGACTTGGCTTCCGCTTTCTCTATCTACATGGATATAAAAGGCGGCAAATAGCGAATCATATGTATCCGAACGGGCCACCGCCGCCGCCGGCGAAGCTTTTAATAACGTTCCTTGCCGGAATCGAATCAACTGACGCCGTCGGCTTCCGCTCCTCGCGCTCCCCGAGGTCCAGATCTTTAAGGTTTTGATCTTCTAGGGCTGCAGTTTTTTTTTTTTCCGCTTTCTTATCTTCATTTCAGCATTTCTGCTTATAGTCTAGGGCATATATTTTTTATTCCTTGGGCACCTCGTTGGTTCTCTTGCAACGCTTTTTAATGTGATTGCGTCGTTTTGCTTGAGCTTTTGGGATCTAGGGTTTTGTGTGTGTGAGAGAGAATTGCATTTGTACGAAGATATTTTGAGATTGGACGGCGATGTTTTGAGAATTGCATTTGTACAATCTTTTTTTTTTGTAAATGGTGATCAAGGTGTCATTCATGGATCCCACAGGTCAAGCTGGCTGCTGATCAGTGTATTATAACGTGCAGAAATGGGAAATAAAAAAGAGTTTGCTGTTGAGTTGGTGAAACGTAGCTGGGAATAGGATCCCCGTCTTTTTTATAGGAGTTATGATGAATCAATCGGATGGGTTTGAAATATTTTATTATAGGGTTTCCAATTGCCTGTTACTTTCTATAGTTTTTGCTATTGTATAATTCTAAAGAGCAGCCGCAGCAAAAGGACCATTTTTTTTAATAATGATTTAAGGAAAGCTTTTTCGGTATAGGACCGAGATGATTGCGTCATTATGGGAGTTTTCCTGGCATTTTAGATATCTGATTACCTACGATATACATTGTGCGTGCTTGCATATTTGTTAATTCAATAAAGATGATTGCATCAATTTACCGCTCTGTCGTTGTCAAATGTGACCATGATTCTGCATGTTAAACAATTGCCATATTCTTCTCATGCTTTTGGTAATGCTTCAAACAATATTGAGGTTCTCGGTAGGTACGAGTAGGTGTTTGCTTTAAAAATTCACTACTATGCAGTTAAATCTATAATATGTTTCGTTTAGGACCTTTAATTTAATGATGATGAACTTAAAATTTGAAGTGGTCCTTTTTCTCTTTGAATTGTTTCATATCAGACTTTTTTTTTTCAGTCACCCTCTAAAATTTGTCAACCTCGATAAATTTATTTTGTCACCGTTTGGTGTGCTAGTGTGTACATATATATGAAACGATGGCTTCTAAAGCACCATACTAAGCATATATGCAAAATTCACATCTCTGATGTGGGAGGTGGCGCGCGTCTCAAACCGTGCCGCAGTGGAGACGGCGTCCCAAACGCACCCTAAGCATGTATGCAAAATTCACATCTCTAATGTGGGCATAACATTGCAAGTTTTCTCTAGATTGTTTCTATTTTAATTGGATGGCTAAAATACACTTGCCTGATTCTATGTGTAACCTGCTAGGGGTATTGAGTATCCTTGGAGGAGATGTCGAAGTGGTCATGTTCAGTTGATTTCTCAACTATAAGTTTACAAGGTTATGATAGATGAAATAAATTATAGGCTTTGCTTAATGTATTATTTTTCTTGATTCTATAACAACAATAATATCAAACCTTTATCTCACTATGTGGGCTCGGCTAGATGACTCATTTTTCTCATTTAAATCCAATAAAAATAGGTTATTTCTAATATTTTCTAACAAAGTTTTTTTAGGTCTACCTCTGCCATTCTTAACATAGGTCAAATTTAATACATTTACTCTCTTAACCGGGTCATCAAACTTTTATATGATCAAATCATCTAAGGCTACTCTATCTAATCTTATTTGTCACTAAAACTACTCCAACCTTTTCATGGACATCTTTGTTTCGCATTCTGCCTCTAAGAGTAAAGCCACTCATCCACCTGAGCATCATCATCTCTATGACGCTTAACCCAATTTAATGCTTCTCTTTTAATGGCCAACTTTCTGTGCCATAAAGCATTGCAAGTCTTACCACTATCTTACAAAATTTTCCCTTAAGTTTGAGGAATACTTTTCTATCGCACCATGCTTGATGCATTCCTCCACTTCAACCATCCGAATTGAATTCTACCAATAATGTCCCCATCTATTGCACCATCACTCAGGACAATAGACCCAAGATATGTAAGACGTATACTCTCATTAATGACTTGATCGACCAAAGTCATAATCCCCCCACTAGATCTATTACTACTAAAATTGCACTCAATATATTTGGTTTTAGATATACTCAAACAAAAACCTTTAGACTTTAAGGTTGGCGACCATAATTCAAGTTTACCTTCAACTTCCTATCTAAGCTTATCAACAAGAAGATTATTATTATTAAAAAACATACTGATGAGGACATCCATAGGAGATTTCGGCACACTTACCATCGGAGGGGTCGTCGAGCGACGGCCGTGATTCATAGTCTTTATTTTTATATTTTATTTTATTCATGTCATTTATATTTCATGTTTTTCCATTTGTACCCCTATAAGGGAGTTAGTGCTTGTTTTAGCCCAAGGACAATGTCGTTGTTATAATTTTTATTTTCGGTTGGCCTATATATAGGATTAATCATTGTATTTGAGTTAGTTTTTGATGAATAAAAATTTGTCTCTTATGTTCTCTTTGTGAGTTCAACCCTCCTCGATCTCTTAGTGAGTTCGTTGGAGAAGATAGATCTTTTTGTGAGTATTAGATTTTCGCCAAACTATTTTATCTTCGAGATTTCTAAATTTTCGCCAATCTATTTTCGTGGAGATCCGGATTGAAGATAATTGAGGTGAGTGGATTTATAGAAAATCAAATCCCTAGAAATTCCCCTCCTCCCTTCCCCTCACCCCTTGCCGCCGCCCAGGCCACCGGTCTGCAAACCCCCCAGCAGCAGCAGCGCCCGCTTAGCCACCCATTGACCCCCTTGCGCCACCCCCCTCTAGCTCCCCCCTTTGAATTTTTAATTCCCCTCTCTTAATGACTTTCCTAATTAACCATATTTTAATTTGGGAAATTAATTAAGAGGAGTTACACAAATTTGAAATTCAAATCTTCCCCAATTGATTACTCATCTATTTGGAAACTTGCCTATTTTACAAAATCTGAGAATCAATTCAGATTTTAATTAAAACCTTGAATAAAGTTGTGGTCCCCACTCTACTTATGACAATTGTGCTCTCCCCTCTCTCCATGTGGCCGGCCCCCTTTAATGGGTTTCTCTCTCTCCCAAATTAAATTAAAAGCTCCACCAAATCAGCCCCAATTACCTCCTCAATTAACGCTCCTAGTCATTATTGAATTAATTTGAAATTTCAAATTAATCTCCCTCCAAAACCACTTGGAGCTGAATTTAATTTCAGTTTTCCTAAATTTCCCCCCTCCCTCTAGCTCATGGCTAAACCTCCCACACCTATCCGCCACCTCCACCCCTCCTCTTCCCCTTGTTTTCAACGGTGCTCCTTCATCTCCCGACAAGGATGCATGGCGGAACCCGAGATCGAGATCAAGTCGACATTCTCCAATCACCGTTCTTTGACGTGGGCTTTGATTTCGACGACACCGTTGAAGACTACATTGACCGTATCCAATACGCCTTAGTTGACGTGATCGAGGAGCAAAGATCAAAGGGACTTTGGATCATCATTGGACGACCATCTTCCTCCACCACTCCGGCCATCTTTCCAAGAACGACGATCTTAGGTTCCTTCTTCCTCGGAGTGACATTAATTCTAATGTGGAGACTCTTCTGCCGCTAAAGCCTATACTATTTGAGCGTATGGACTCCAAAGGTGAAAGCTCTCATTATTAAATCGTGGATTCTTGTTTACCGTCGTAGCATTACAATTCTTCTTTGCGTTTCCCTGAATTGTTTGGTTAATCGACTTCGCTCTTCTTTGCCTAAGCAAGTTAAAGACTAAGAACTCCGAGGATCATTCCTTGTCATAAGTAATAACTATATTTTAGGAATACTTTGTTAATTCACTCTCTTTCATTTCTTAAGTAATTCATGTTGTTTCACATCACATACTCCAGGGTACCTTCTCTTGTAAATGTCTAGTAAGAACATCCATGACTAAAGCAAAAAGATATGCGCTTAAAGCTAATCTTTGATGTAATCCAACTGAAATAGAAATATACTTGATCAAACCACCTTGCGTTTGAACTTTAAGTAATAGCTTTTGCATACATATCCCTAATGACTTTAATATAAACATTATTAATCCATATATTTTCTAGAACTCTCCATAGCACTTCTATTGGAACTTTATATCATAAGTTTTCTCTAAATCAATAAATATCATATATATAGATCTCCTTATTCTCTCTATAATTCTTCATCAAACCTCTCAATAAATTTATAGCTTCCATAGTGGACCTACCCGACATGAATCCAAATTGATTTTTAGAAACATTAATATTACGTCGTAACCTATGCTCAATAACCATCTCCCATAGTTTTAAATTATGACACATTAACTTAATTCCTCTATAATTCACACACTCTTGTGTATTACCTTTATTCTTATAATAGGAATCAATATACTCCTTCACTCTTCTGACATTTTTTAAGTCTTCAAAATAATATTGAAAAGTTTCGTAAGCCAATAAATTTCTTCATCTGCTAAGCATTTCCACGTCTCTAATGAAATAACATCATGTTCAATAGCTTTTTCACACTTCGTTTTCTTTAAAACCTCTCTAACTTCAGTTTTATTAATACGTCGATAAAATGGAAAATCTCTATTTTTATTTAGGGTGCTCAGATTTTTGAAGTCAATCATACTCTTGTAATATTCATTGAAAAAATATGAAAAGCTCATCGAAATATCTTATCCACTTTTGTTGAATATCCTCTTCTAGTAAAAATATTTTTTGATTTTCATTCTTAATGCTCTTCATTTAAATTAAATTCTTCTTCTATCTCTTTGCTTGAGTAACTTATACATACATCTCTCCCTCTCTTTATTATCTAATCTATTATATAAATCAATAAAAACAAAAAATTTTAAATCACATATTGTTTTCTTAAACTCTTTACGTGTATCTTTATATCATTCCAATTTTTTTAAGTTTTTACATTTAAATCAATTTTTTATAACAAAATTTCTTAATTTTGATATTTTCTTGCACATTTTGATTCCACCACCAAATTTTTTTACTATTAGGAGTTTTTCTTTTTGATACTCTATGCACATTCTTTTCTACTTTTTTAATATCATTAGCTACTTTTTTCTACATAATTTTAGTTTGCTTATACACAGTCAAAATCTCAATATCTTCAATTTTACTCAAAAATATTTTTGTTTGTGTTTTTTAAATGCTCTCATATAATTCTAGGACTATATTTTTCTTTATTTTTTATATTCCGCCCCTTCATCTTAAAATTCAAAACTAGTAGGTGATGTTGAGTTCATAAACATTCACTCATAATGAAATTTCAATCTTTGTAATATAAATGATTTAATTTTATTATAAGAAAATAATCAATCTGAGTTTTACTATATCTATTTTTATAAGTGATGAGATGCTCATTTATTTTCTTAAGTAATTATTAGCATTTATAAAATCATAAGTTAGAGAAAAATCTAATATAATCCATCCACTTTATTTAGTTGCTCCAAACTCATAGCCATCATGAATGATTTTAAATTCTTCTACTTCTTTACTAACATGTCTATTTAAATATCCTCAAATAAAAACTCTTTATTCAAGAGATATTTTTGATATTAATTCTTCTAAGTCATTTCAAATTTTTAATTTTAAATACATCCAAACCTATTTCAGTTACATAAGCACTTATAATAATAATATTCTTAACATCAACAACAATCTCTAAAATTATAATTCTATCTTCAATTCGGTTAATTTCTACAATATTATCATTCAAACTTTTTCTATAATCACACGTACATCATTTCTAGAACAACTCTTACATGAATACCATAGTGTAAATCCTAAACTATTAAATATTCTTAGCATTCTCTCCAACCCATTTTATTTCTTGAATGCATAGAATAGTTATCTTCCTATGAATCATAATATCTATTGATTCCATTAATTTACTTTTAAAAGAACTTATATTTCATATTCTTATCCTAATTTTAATTTCATGGATCAGCTTCTTTACCCATATCTGTCATGATGTGAGAACCGTTGCTTATTAAACATTGTAATCGGGCGCCAGTGCTACAACCCTCGCACACTTCTCATTGTATTCAGGTCATACAACTTGTCGCTTATAGGTAACGCCCAGTATTTCGGATTCATGTCATGATTATTCGACAAATTTTATGCTAGCTGTCGACTGCATAACGCAACCCTCCACTTTCCTCATCCATGACTTTGGACCTCACAACAACACTGTTTTTCCCTTGATTCTAAGAAGTCAATTCTATTCTACGATGCCTTCGAATGTGACACGACATGAATATGGTGCAAGGTAATTCTTGAAAAGATACGTCTTGTTTGACAAGACACAATACTTAAAATGTTAATATGCCTAAATTTTTGTTGAAGATTGGGATACCGCACACCCTATGCATGCATGGGCTTCCATACCAATCTCATGCACGACCCACCCAAGTATGTCGCATGTTATTCAATCTTGGTAGGGATTATTGAGTGCATGGGTTCAAGGTTCTAACCATTGGATCGATCTTCTCATGGCCCTAGGATTGTAATATGTGTGCTTCCTCTAGCCGTCGACCTACCTCTTGGATTATTTCCCCCCTTTTTTATAGTTAGTTTGGATTTATTTCTATTATAAGACTCTTGAGGAGTCTATATATACCTCCATATTTTGTACATAAAAATATAGAAGTTCTATGTAAATTTTTTTTTTTAAATATATTTTTATTTTCAACCTTTTTGTTAATTTTGTATGAATGTATCTTATTTTATATTTTACAATTGTAATATACCTATAAATCAAATATGATGAAAAATTAAGTGGTTAACAATTCTCACAATACCAAAAGACTCCTTAATCAACATTGAATAATCACAGCTCTCATAAATGAACTGTTAGGAAAGTGAGTGCTCCCAATTTAGAGGCAAGTGTGATGAACAGCAAAATAATTGAAAAAAATCATACCTCCATATTTGTACATAAAAATATAGAAGTTCTATGTAATTTTTCTACATAATTTTTATTTTTCAACCTTTTAATTAATTTTGTATGAACGTATTATATTTTATATTTTACAATTGTAATATACTTATAAATCAAATATGATGAGAAATTTAGTGGTTAGCAATTCTCACAATACCAAAAGACTCCTAAATCAACTTTGAATAATCACAGCTCTCATAAATGAAGTGTTAGGAAAGTGAGTGCTCCCAATTTAGAGGCAATTGTGATGAAAAACAAAATAATTGGAAAAAATCAAGCTCCACAAAAAAGAATACCGAAATCTACATGTTTTGGCTGAAGTAAGTATGTTCATGATCTCATAGAGATCAAATAATCCGTTAAACTTCAAAAAATTATACTTCATATAAAGTTAGAGATATGAACAAATATATCACCTTTATCACCTTGTCTAGCCAAGAGAAAATACAATCATCTACTATCAAGATGGGGCTAGACGTGGAGGAGACTTTGTTGTTGCTTTATTTATTCTCTTCTCTAGTGTAGAAGTTCAAATTGGAAGCATTCCTTGTGATAACAGAGCTTAAATTCATTAAAATTTGATTACAGAGAAACAACTTTTCTAAATATTTATGTAGCTTATGTTGTCTTATGTGGTCACAATTGAAACTTGTACATGTAAACTTTTGTTTTATCTAGTACCATCATAACCAACACTCTCATTTTCATCATAGATGAGTTCTTATTATCCGATTCATAAAAAATTTAAAATTCAGTATTGTAATTCATTTTGGTGTTGTCTTATGCAGATTTTACTTAGCATGGAAAGAACCAGAGGGTGCCGTATCTCCACCCATCTCGGCTGTTTTACTCCTCACTCTTCTCCTTCCCATGATATGGGAGAAGATAACGAGAATAAGCAAGATCAATTGTCATCATCTATGAATATGGATTGGAAGTCTGCAACTTGTGCTGTGTGCATGGAACCACCACACAATGCAGTCCTACTACTTTGCGCTTCTCATGAAAAGGGCTGTCGCCCCTACATGTGCAACACCAGCTACCAACATTCCAACTGCCTTGAGTTATTCAAGAAGGCATACACAGTTTCCGTATCCACCAACCAGAAAACATTGCCACAACATAGTTCAGCTATTTGCAATAAATCAAAGGTATTGGAGCTTCCATGTCCACAATGCCCTCTCTGCCGTGGTCAGGTGAAAGGGTGGACTGTAATAGGACCAGCTCGGAAGTACCTGGATAACAAAAGAAGGAGCTGCATGCAGGTACTTTAGAAATAATTTTTTATTTGGTTGCTATTCTATGTCAGATGAGCTTGCTGGCTAAACTTTTGATTCACATTAACACCAGACAGCGTTGTATTATATTGCTGCTTGATTTATAAGCTGAATTGTGGCTTAAATGACATGTTTTCAGAGATGTTTCGGTATCTTATGCTAATAATGTGTGCCAAGTTCTCTTTAATTTTCTGGGTAAGAGGGGTTTGACTAACTTAAATATTGCAAGGGATTAAATTATGCTATGAAGAAATCCCCATAAAGTCTTTCTATCTATATATGCTATAAAGTTAAGAGCAGGAAGCATATTTTTCAGACGTTTTTTTCTTGGTCTGCACAATTTCATTTGATTTTCACAACCGTCCTTTTGAGTTTAAGTTGTGAAAATATCTTGAAAGAAGGACAAAAGAACTTTATATTTTCATCCTCATTGCCCAAAAGTTGGATATAGGTGAGTTATAGGATGAGTTTTTAACAAAGTTTTTTTAGATACTTTTTAATCAAATCTTTTTAGGTCTAGTTTTACCTTTCTTAACATAGTCGAGATCTAATACATATACTTTCTTAACAGTGTCATCAGGAGGCTATGATGACTCTCTCAAATCTTATCTATGATCGAAGCTACTCCAACCTTATCACATATATACTTGTTTTGCATTATGTCTCTAAGTATAATGCCCGCTAGATAGGCCCACGGGCTCTTAGATTTTCTTTTTTGTTAGCTTTTCTTGTTGGAGGCCTTGTAATCCTTTTTTGTTCTTTAGAATGCAAATGCAAAATTTCAGCTCTAAGTATAATGCCACTCATTCACCTGAGCGTCCTCATCTCTACAACACTTAATTTGATGTTTCTCTTTTAGTGACCAATATTTTGCGACATAAAGCATTTCGGGTCTCAACACCATCTTACAAAATTTTCCCTTAAAGTTTGAGGGAAACTTTTCTATCAAACAATAGGCCCGATGCACTCATCCACTCCAATCATCCAACTTGAATTCTCTATTAATGATATCCTTATCTATTTCACCCTTACTTTGAACAATAGAACCAAGATGTCTAAAACATGCACTCTTTTTAATGATTTGATCATCCAATGTCACAATACCACCATTAGAAATATTACTACTAAAATTATACTCCATGTATTCAGTGTTAGATCTACTTATTAAAACCTTTAGACTCTAAGGTTGACCTCCATAATTCAAACTTTTCATCAACTCCCTCGCGCTAGTTTTATCAACCAGAAAAATATCATCAGCAAAAAATATACACCAAGGTATATCCTTTTACAAATGTCTAGTAAGAACATCCATGAATAAAGCAAAAAGATATGAGCTTAAAATTGATCTTTGATGTAATCCAACTAAAATAGGAAAATACTTGATCAAACCACCTTGTGATTGAACACTACTAATAGCTCTTGTATCAAACATTGCCAATGTCAGGTCCCAAGCCTTGAATGAGAAAAGTGGAGGGTTGGATTAAGTCGTTGACAACGTAAAACATGTCGAACAACCATGAATAGTTTCATTTCTTATATACTCAAAATTTTGATTAGGACATTAACGTATGCTTGATTATCACTTTAATCTGAAACCTTGGAAGCAAAATTTATAGAATGTTCACGTAAATGTAGTTTATTTGGAATTTTTATTTTGTGCCAACTGAGCAATTGTAACTATTAGGAAATGATGCTCAAATGGAGTAGCGATTGGTTGGGCCTGAATTAATCCTTCAAACAATTTAATGGTTACCAATCTAAGATATACGATAGTAAAAATACTTTCAAAGAATGAGAAATCATATACCATTCAATTGCGTGAAATGTCAAAAAATTCAAGTAAGAGTTTCTAACTATCAAATAAATTAGATATATTTTTCCATTCTAATAATTATATATTATTGAAATAATTTTTTGAAACCAAGTATATCAAGCTGTCCTACCAAGTTATGAATCAAATATTAAATCATCCATGGTTATGAACACCGGAATATCATGAAGTAAAAATTAATATTACAGCTTTTGGAAGAGATGAGAATTGGCTGAACAGAACATGACAAGTTGTATAAGATTTATCTAACTTGGATTGGCTCCTACTTAAATAAAGAAAATGATTTAGATGGATTTGTATCTTCAGACCATTTATAACAGTTTGAAAAAAGTTTTGATGTTGGCTTCTTTAGTTGTTGATTCTTTGCATTTGATTTTACAAAAGCGGGTGAAAAGAAATTTAATTTTTTTTTTATATTGGGATTAATTATTCTATGCAGACACCGAATGCCGTCTGAAGACCAACCAGAATGTGCCACGTCACCTCTGTACTCAGTACCGCGGACGTGGCGCATTCTGGTTGGTCTACGGACGACATTCTACGTCCGGTCTCCACAGAATAATTTCTCCTTTTCTAGGGCCTTGGTTTTGGTCTCCACATAGAATAGTTGTTGATTCTTTGCATTTGATTTTACAAGCGGGTGAAAATAATTTTAAAATTTTTTCAATATTGGGATTAATTATCTTGTGCGGACGGCAAACAACATATGGAGACCAATCAAAATGCGCCACGTAACCCATGTGCTCGGTACCGCGAATGTGGCGCATTCTGGTTGGTCTCTTGACGGCGTTCTACATCCGGTCTTCACACAGAATAATTTCTACTTTTCTAGAGCCCTTGTTTTGGTCTACAACTCCCCCCCTCCCCCCAAGCTTTAAAAAGCTGACTTATCATTTGGGTTTCTGATAGCTTTGCTTTATGTACAAAATGAATGCAGGGTGAGTGTTCCTTTATAGGAACATTCCTGGAGCTACAGCAACACATAAGAGAGAATCATCCATTTCCCAAACCTCTGGAGGTAGATCCTGAGCTTGAAAAGAGGTGGAGAGAGATAGAGCTTGAGAGAGAAAGACAGGATGTCATCAGCTTCATCAGCTCTTCCATGCCAAACTCAGTGATACTGGGAGATTATGTGATAGATCGGGGGGAGCTTCATAACAGCTTAGATAATGGCATTTTGTACGGCGCCGAACACCGAGTTTTTCGAGATCTTAATGATGTTTATTATCATAGAACTACAAATGTTCCCAGAGTACATCGTCACAGGCGGCAGCGGCGGCGGCAACGGAGGATACAGGGGAGATGGATGCATGGCTTTAGGCCTTTTTTGGCAAGATGGAACTGGATGTATCAATAGGTATCGTTTATGGTGCTTTTCTTAAACTTTTATTGTTATAATTTATTTTCACACTTATATTCTATGAGAAAGTAGCTTTTCCTTAAGAAATAAAAAATAATCAGCTCTGTTTCCTTATATGCAGTTCATCATTCTGTTACTTCCGAACGTTGTGTCATGTGGAACTTCAAAGCTCAGCAAAGAGAAAAATTATTCTGAGTGGACACCGGACGGCATCCGAAAGATCAATCAGAATACATCATGTTACTTTTTTATTTGGTACCGTTCCTCGGTACCCTGTATACCAGGTGATATGACGCATTCTGATTGGTCTCCGGACCGTTCGGTATCTGCATTGAATAATTTTTCTAGCAACGATGATATTTTCTATGATGCCTATGATTTTGAGCTTCAGGTAGTTTGTGTTATAGTGTTTATAAAATTTTTGCCTGAAGCATATACCCTCCCATCCAGCATTCCAGCTTATATGGTAGTCACTGAAATCATTTTGGTTATGTAACTCACCTATGTCCGCTTGTCGGGAGTTTTAATTATCAACTAAGAGGTCTTAGGTTCTAATCTTTCCTATGTGATGTGTGTGCTTATCTTAATTGACTTAAATTTCCGAGGAAAAAAATTGATCTATGAACTTTGTTTTGGTCAAAGATTCAAAATTTGTATTTCGATTTTAGAGATTATAAATATTAATTAATCAACCAAATAATTATTAGTTTGCTTTTCTTTTAGGTTTTATACTGAGTGTGGGAATGACATTCAGTTACAGTTCGAGTGAATTTGTGTCGTACTGTTCACAGTCGAGATAAAATGTAAAAATGCGTTTATGTTTGTCGTTCAGATGGATGCTCCCTGGAGCTTGAACCGGCAAATGACGTTCAGCTGAAGATGCTCTTAGTCAAATGAATTATTTTTTTGGCTCTTTGCATGGTTCATGGTTGTAGAGGATCATTAGTCTACTTCTATTTTGAATTGTATATTCTATAAATCCTGAATGCCTAAATTCTTTGTATTTTACAGAAAAATGAGAATGACTATAAATATCGATGGTAATTCTATTTCAGCACTTGAAGAGCTATAGGAGCATGTTTCATTAAAGCTCAAGGCTCCTCAGCCTGAGATGTACAATAGTTTTTAAATATATTTTAATTTAATAGAGTTTCTCAATGAGCTTTCGAGCCAAGCTAGGTTGAGCTCGAGCTCAAACTCGTATAATATAAGAGCTCAAGTATGTGTTCGAGCTTAAATTCGTGGCTCATTAAGTTCGACTCGTGAGCTCGAGTCGCTCTCGTGCGGGCTCGACTCACTTACACCCCTAGCTAGAACCCTCTTGAATAGATGTCTTTATGCAGTTGAGATGATGAGCATGATTATCAATGCTCCATCAAGGATGGTGGTGAGTGGCTTTGATGGCCAGTTCTTGCTAAAGGGCAAGTGAAAAGTTGAGTGATTAGCCCAGCTTAACTATTCTTGTGAGGGAAAACTCCGATTTACATGTCTTGGTTAATTAGGGATCAATGACCCTTGGGTGAGTTCTCCTTATGGATCCATGAAGTACGAGTTCACTCATTATGACTCACTGACTACCTGTTGAATACATGAAAATTACATAATTGATATGCACGTAAACCTCTCTTAGATACAAATATCACCATTTTTTTTTTCTTCTTTTATTTTTATAAGCTTAGCATGTCATTTCTTGGTTTTGCTTATGAGGTTCGATTGGCTTGGCTTAACTTGACTTTGATAGGCTTTTTGTTAAACTTGGCTAGGCTAAGTTGCACTTTGTTTGGCTTAGCTTGGAACATACTTGACTTAGCTTTGTTTTGATTGCTTGCCTTTGCTTGGGAGGACTTAATTTGCTTAAGTTAATCTAGCTTGTAGTAAGCTACTTAAATTTCTCATTATGGGTGGTTTTCACATATACAATTAATGCATTTTAGTTTCTATTTAATATTTATCAATTGTTGGGAAAAAACATGGAGGAAGAGTGATCTTGAATTCCTCTTTGTTGTTGTCCGAGAATTTCCTTGGCGGTGTATTCAATTCAAAAAAGCAAGGACGAATTCAAGATTGCTCTCCCTCCAACATTTTTTCTCAACAATCATAATAAGAGTCTTAATTTTTATATAACTTACGTATAATCGTATAAATAAAAAGTATCCACCCTTGGTTCAACCTCGCCATCAAGATGTTTATAAGAGTTTAAGATGTATGAGATCCTAAATTTGGACAATCCTCTATCCACCTCATAGGGTATTCTAAGATTTCTAGGAAACTTTCTAAATCAACTAGGATATGTAGAAGGATCTAGGAAAAAAATGTCCCCTAAGTCACATAAGACTATTTTAGATAGATTTATAAACTACTATTAGGATAGAAGAATCAAGGAAAAAGGGTGCACTAAGGGTTCGTTTGAGACGACTTTTTAATTTTTTTTTTAAAGCAACATTTTAGTACAAAATTTTTTAATTTTGGTAATATAAAGTTACTTTAAGAAGCAGTAAGAAAGCTGTCTCAAATAAAGCCTAAATCACGTGGGACTATTTGAGATAACTTTATTGGCCACAACCATCTAGGATTTAACTATCGGGTTTGATTTTTTCATTCTTAGATTTATCACGGGAAAATCTTAGGTCTCTTATGAGTTACTTTTTAATTTATCTCTATATATGAAGGATTATTTTCAATGCTATGTTACTAAACTTTTTATTTATCCTCACAAATATTCAAGCACTTAATAATAGTATATTTAAGACAAATTTAAAAGAGCCATAAGTAGATATGTGCCTCCTTTAAAATTATAACATCTTTATATATATTAAATATATATTAATATGTCATTATTATTTGATAATTTTAATAGTACACATTCAAATCATACCTTCTTCAAATATTAAAATTAATCAATATTTCATTCGCACCTTTTTATATTCTACCAACTCCACAACCGATAATTTTCTTAAAATCCCTACCAAATAACAAAAAATAATCAAACTAATTACATACATTTAAAAAATAATAATAATTATCAATACAAAATTTATATCTGTCTATTATATCAAAATGAATTTAAAAATTGATAAATTTATTTTAAAATTAGTGATTTGTATAAAATTTTTATTTTATGTTAATATAAAATAATTTTATTATTTTAATTTAATTTATATTAGAATATTAAAAATTTAGACAAAAGACCCGGTCCATCATCCAAAAGACAAGAAGAAACCATTTATTTATCCCCACAGAACTCCATATCTCAATGCCCATATGGAATCGAAGCAGAGGATATCCATTTCCTTCTACGAGGCACCGGTCCACCGGCCCAAAGTGCTGCGATCGGTAACCCGACCGGCCGCCGGACGATTCCGGCAGTCGACGACCCGCAGCTTCGACCGCAGGGCTATGCTCCTCGCTTACGCACAGCAGCTCCGGCGAATCCACCGCGATCGACAGGTGGCGCGCCCAGATTGGAGGAAATGGCAGATCGCATTCGCTACTCATGATGGGGTAAGCTAATCGATGAATTGAAGAATCCGCGATCGAAAATCTTCAATCGCTATCTTGAATTTGTTTTTTGTTTTTGTTTTTTTTTTTGTTTTTAATATGGAATTGCGAATTTGGTTTTGAGGTTGGATATTGAATGTAGATGACAAAGGGATCTCGCTGGGGGTTTCGGGTAATCGGAGTGAGACCGCGGCCGCGGTGGGGACCAGATTATGAGCGGCTTGAGGCCATGGACGGTGGCGGTGGAAAGGAGAAGCGGCGGTGGCGCGTCGGCCGAGTATGTGTATGGAATGATGCAAAAGTTTATTTTTTTAATGTGATTTTTTTTAAAACAGTATGTACTCCCTTTAAAAAAATGTATGTAAATAGTAAATTATTATATAAAAAATCAAAAAAAGGAAAAAAAACCTATATAAAAATACATTTTGAATAGTTTTATCAATTAAATAACACTTGTATAAATAATTAGAGGATTTACATTAATATTACAAAATTACTATCTATTTACATATTACATTAAATTTTTATCCTTTTTTATAAATTGTTTTAATATCTAATAGATATAAGCTATTTTTTAAAATTTTAAATAAGTTAATATTAATGATACTTTTGTAAACGAACAGTCTCATACTTACAGTTTATTACATGTTTTACCATTGTATTTCTTTATATAAAGAACTCTGTACACGCTACCTAAAGTTAATCAAATACTTTATCTTTTCTACCTCTGCTCTGTCTTCTTTCCCTGCACGTCTTCTCCCGTTTCCATTTCTGTCAACTTTTATCTGATTAATCTTATATAAATAAATATAAAGATTTAATTATTAAATGCATAAATATAGAAAAATTCTATGGTGTATATGTAAATCCTCCATATAATTATACTATACTTAATAAATAAATAAAATTTTAAATTGGAGATTTTTAAGTTTATGTGGTCTAATAAGAATGAATAGTATGCAATTTAATTTTCCTTTTGAAATAGTACTTAAAGAAAGTAAATCCTAATGTTTTTTTTTAATATTTCTTTGAAGAGTGAAGCTTTCTCTATATAAATAATAAAATGGAAAATTTTGATCATAAAAAATAATGATTTAAAATTCAATCTTGTAAAATAATAGATACATGGGTTGACTTTTAATATTTATAAATTTGTCCTTTATTTTATATATAACTTCCCTATAATTTATAGAATAAAAAAATTATTCAATAAACATCATGAAATTATCTTGCAATTTGTACATATTGTTTATGAATGATTATCATCTACTCTTGATTAATTTATTGTGAGGGTGCTAATATATTTTTTTAAGGGATTTTGGTCTGATTGAATGTGATGTAATTAATATATTTTGAATCAAATGCTTTGGAAAATATATTACTGAGGTCAATCAAACAATATAAATTGGTAAATTTGATTGTTTGTATTTGCAATATAATTATTAGGGTTGTCGAAAATGGGTTAAAGGATCATATTTGAATTCACCCGAAATTGATATATTTTTAACCTATTGGCCCAAATCTAACCCATTTACTAAATGGGTCATACCCCTGAAATTAAATTTGACCCGGCACACTAACCTATTTATATTAAAAAATGATTTTAAAGCAAAGTGAGTGGCACAAAACATGTTGAAATATCAATATAGTCTTTCTAACAATATCAATTAATAAATTTTAATTAAGGAGGTTTTAATATACAATGTTATATTTGATAAGCATTGATAATTATAAAGACAAATTTGATGCTACATAAAGCAAACCCATCAATAATGATCAATTTGAAATGGTGGGTCGACCTGATAATAAAATGGGTTGGAAAGTTGACTCGAGCATAACTCATTTATTAAATTGGTCAATCTGTACCCTGAAATTTCAGATCCGATGTAGTTCAGATTTCATGATCATGTCATTTATTTATCAACAACCCTAATAATTATGGGGACTTAGGAGTTAAACTAATGGTGATTTGTTTCATTCTAATATGGCAGAATCAATGGAGGCTTATGGTGCGTTGGATTTCGCGCAGATGGAGGCTTATGGGATCCTATTTCAAGTCTGAAAAATATCATCATATTTAGACATTATAAAAATAATAATAATATTCAAATATTACAAGAGATGTTCATAGAGTTATTTGATGCAAAGCTTTCATGTATTTTATTTGTGCTTTTTTTAATTTATGAAATTAGCTAAATAAATTAATGAGTATAAGGTAAAATAGCTTAAAAGATAACTTTTTTTTTTTGTTGCTTTTTTTTCTTAGATTAGTCAATGTTAATTTAACCTTAAGATTGTCCGATTTACATTGAGATTAGTGCAATTTATAATATGATATATGATACTATTTTTATTGTAATTTATACGATTTTATAGCTCATTGTATATATTTTATGGAAAAATATTATAATTAATATTCTGGCATTTTCATTCTTGTACTTCTTAGATGTATGTAACTTATCGGATTCAAATTCATCGAATAAAAATGATCGAAATTTATTAGAAGATTAGAGAAACCTTATTAGATTGAATTTGTTTTATTTTTTTAAGAGAGAATTTAGTCAACTTAAAATTGAATTAAGAGAAAAGGAGAGTTAGAGAAAGATTGTAAAAAAAAATTTATAAATGAAATAAGAATATCATCCTCAAATTATGTAAAAATAATATTAAAGTGATTTATTTATTTTGAATGTTTATTGTGTTCTTTTTCATGTAAAATAGAATTATGATGTTATTAGTAAAGACAATTTTAATTAAGATTGCCATGTAAGTATTTGTAGAACAAATTTATCATAGTAACTAAAGGATGTCTATTTTTTGTTATAAACTAGATTGATTTTGTTCATTCTTTTGAGCCGAACGAGGCGACCGACCTTATCATGTGACCGAGTCGGCTAGTCCAATACTCTCTTCAAACCCTCTCTCCAGTAACGTAAATTATGTGGTAATGATGAAATTTATATGATTTACACGATTAGAAAGAGGGTCGGATGCACAAAAATGCTTGAAATGGAGCTCGAGCCGATCATGTGAAGAGGGCAATTAGCTTGTTTGGTTCAAATGCTCAGATTAGGGGTGTTAACAAGTCGAGTCGAGTCGAGTCGAGTTTAGGCTTTTATCGAGCTCGGCTTGTTAGATTGAAAGAGAGCCTCGAACTCGAGCTCATCTCACTGTAAACGAGCTCAAGCTGGCTCGCCAGCCATGGGCGGGATTTTTAAAAATTAAGCGGGATTTTTAAAACTTAAGCGAGATTTTTAAGACTTAGTCAAAATTGTAAAAAAATATATATAAAATGTTTAACATTTAAATAAAATTTAGGTGGTTTTTATTAAATTTATTAATATTTAAATTTAATAAATAAAATACAATTATTTAAAAAATATTAATATTTATTCGAGCCACGAGCCGAGCCGGCGCAAGCTTGAACTCGAGCTCGATTCGTGAGCTCGATAAGCTTGGCTCACGAGCACATAAATGAGTTGAGCTCGAGTTGGTTGGTCTCACTTACACCCCTAACACAGATTAGTTCATTATTTTTATATGTAACAATCAAATAGATAAAAAATGGAAGGAGTTTTAATAAAAAATTTAAAAAAGCTTATAAATACATTAAAAAATATATTTGATAAATTTTAGATATTAATATATTATGATAGTTATATAAATTCATATTTTTTTTTCTTTAAGCAACCTTTGAGTTAGATAGTCATTTCCCGCTTCATTTCATTATCCACGTGTCAACCGAATGTTACGCTAATGACCAAATTCCCTCCGCTGTGCCGTATATCCAATCCCCACCAGATCAGAACCACGTTTTATCATCGATCTCTTCTTCCCCGTCGGCAGCTACATGATCAGCGCTCTACCTGCTACCCTAACACTTCAATTTCATCGCCGAGAAACCTAATTTTCGCTTCCGCTCTCTCTCTTTCTCTCTCTCTCTCTCTCTCATGGGATTCTCTGCCGCTCTTTCAAGCGCTGTCGCCGTTCTTCTCGCCGTCGCAACTCTGATCGGGATAGGGCAGGTGGAGGGATCGATCCATACCTACGAAGATGATTCCTTCAAGGAGGTCGGAAATGCCTTCCTTCTTTCCGGCGGAAGCGAGGGAATCGTTGCCTCTGGCGGTGGCAACTCCTTTATTCGGTAATCGCCCAAGTCAGAAACTCTGTATACTTTCTGGTTGTTTGGATCTAGGTTGATTATCCTTGGATTCATTCTGTTTGTTGGATGATTCGGGGTATTTTAGGAGATCGAAGTGAATTCCATTGTAGAAGTACTTGGAAGTCTAGATCTGGCAATGCTTTGTTGGGTAGTTCTAGTTTTAGACGTTTTAAATGCTTGATTTTGGTTGTTGAGGGAGATCTGAAGGGCGAAAGTTATAGTTTTAGATTGAGAGTTAAGTTACTACTTTTTTGCTTAGAGGAGGATTGAGTCGCGCTTTCAGTGTTATATTGCCTAGCATTCAGCAGCAAGAGCATGATTGATTGTTATGTATCTGAAATAAAGAATAAACAAATTTATCTGGGATTGAATTCAAAAAATGTAAATAAAAGTTTATCTGGGATTGAATTCAAGGACATGAGGATGATCACCTTGGAAAGCCTATCTACCTTAACGAACACATAGTTGTGACCTTTAAAGGCCATTAGTTGGTCTCCAAGGAAATCCATGGAGATGATATCCCAAGACGCAGCGGGAACTATCAAAGGAATGTAGAGTTTTTTTTTGCAATTGGAGGGCTTTGAAGTACAGCAAAGAACACAACCTCTGATTTATCTAGCCACATTACAGTTCATGCACAGCCAATACATGTAGCACCACAAGTTTAGAAGAGTTTTTAAAACGCCTAAGTGTACAATTACTTTTGATGTATGTGCTTCCCTCATGCACTTCAAGAGGACACCACCTTTTGGATAACAAAGTTGTTCCTTTGTAAAATAGCGTTCTTTTAGAATGGATCCTTTATATTGTGCCTCTTTTAAGATATTGTTTGAAGTCATCACCATTCCTTTATAAAATATATTCATCATGCAAGGTTAGTAATGCAATCATAGTAGAGGAAAGCACAATAAGCGATCGCAAGAATTTATAATAGTAGAGGGTTTGTTGGAACTTCGATTACACTTTTTTGATATTTGATGACGAGGTTGAATTGTTGTAGGTAAGTTATCCACTTTATGTGATGCAGTGATGGGCTTTGTTGGAACTTTGATTATGTTTTGAACCTTGGAGGTATTGAAGAGGTAAAGGCTTGATGTTGTTGTTGTTGTTGTCTTGGAGGTATTAGTTTTGTCTTGATGTGAACTAAGATTTCCTTCCTAAATAGATAAGTTTGCTAAGGCTTCAATGCTTGATAAGGTGCAAAAGATTGTGGCAAATGCAAGTTAATTTTTGTGTGTGCTTTTAAAATATCACAATAGTAGGCTACAAACCGCTACTTTTGAATAAGAATTGCCCCAATAATATGCATTAATGTATTAGCTTAAATCTTAAAGGCTATTGTATATTTGGCAAGGTTAAGATAAACGACTCGTGTCTTCTCCTTTTCAATAAGGGGAATGCGTCATCATGTTTATTCTACCATACAAAGTTTTGATTTACCTTAGTAATGGTTTGTTGACTAGAGTCGAGCTTTTTGGAGAACTATTTAGGCTTTGTTTGAGACGGCTTTCTTACTACTTCTCAAAGCAGCTTTCTAGTACAAAAATTTTATTTTTTGTATTAAAAAGCTGTTTTAAGAAGCAATAAAAAAGTTGTTCCAAACAAAGCCTTAGTTTGATTACTCCATTGTCAAGTAAACCAACTACTTGTTTCTTGATTTCTTCATTATCGATCACCAAGTTGCAACACATCCCAATGTTCAAGAACAAAACATCTAATATTTGTTTAATATAATGTTCTACCACTTTCTTGGATAGAAACCCATAAGTTCTTAAAAGAAAGTATCCTTAAGTTCTTAAAAGAGAGAAGCGTACTCCTTTGTTAATCCCTCCCCAACTTATAAGAGACACCCTACTGGTTGGTTTCTCCTATGGGATGATGAACATATTAAAGCGTTCACAACTGTTGATTGCTCTCTTTATTTGCCTTGTTGCCACCATATCAATTGACCAGTAGTCTTTATTCCGGTTTAAGGTATAGCATATATGTCTTTATTAAACTTGCATTTTTTGTCCTCTTCTAAAGTCTATGGTATTATGATCTCATAAATATGGTTTTTCAAATATTATTTGTAAATAGCAAAGGAGACCACCTCGCATACCGCATCATTGCTGAACTCTTGAGTGACGATGAAGTTTAGATGGCATTGTTGATTAATCCACATGCCTTTTGACAAGAAGGAACGGAATTATGGGAGTACAAATGAGGATTTGCAGTCTTCTCCAATCCAATCCTTTTGATAATACTTGAGGAGATCAAATTCTTCTGACTTGTACAGTTGATGATTGCATTGAATTTACACTTGATTGGAATGCGTAGGGTGAAAGCTCCTTTTGGATGCCGAGATTGGAGACCAGCTCTTATATATCCCCTCAACATAGCCATTAATGATAGACTTGAGTCTGAATGTTGAACTTGTTTCTTATTTGATTCAAGGTAGGTTGTTCATGCTCTTTTCTACGTCGTCCTTCTTAAACTTATGCATTTTCAATTTTTTTTGTTGGTCATTGATCTTTCTGCAGTCACAAACGAGATTTGACTGAGGATTTGATGTCTTGATTTTACTTTTTAAAGACTTGTTGTCATTCTTTTTTTTTTATTCTTCTTCTTATCATGGGTTGTTAAGGAGCATCCCCCTCTTGAGAGTTAGGAAGCTTCTCTCCGGGAGTCTTTTTCTTCCTTTTAAGAGGCTTTACAAATTAAATGATTTGGCTAGTGTTGTCTAGGAAAGAGACGAAGTTCATTTGATATATTAGATGTACATTATGATGATGGGCATATCGAGAGAGATGCCAAGGGAAGTGGCCTACCTCCTAAACTTGGTGGGGCGGATGATAATATGGGATACTTTAATAAGTTGCATTGAATCACAAAAGTAAATTCTTTATAATGTGAGGATAAAGTTGTGTACATCTTCTCTTTAGATCCTCTATTGGCAGGAGCTCATGCACTTAATACACTCTTTATTATTTATTTGAGTAAGAATGAAATGGCTCTGCTACATAATAATGTACGTATAATACATTATTTTCTTCAATAAGAAGATCATATTCTTTGATTCTTTCCACAGGCACTATTTTCTTTCGAAAGTGAGAGAAATCTCAATTTCACTGTAGCACATGTGCAAAAAATGTGACATTCCTGTTTTCATGCAAATAGAGTAGTACACAAGCAAACCTAGAGCCAGTGGATATTCTGAGATGATACCTTTCGTCATAGGCTCCTAAATTATGTTGCTGCGCATAACTAAGGGAATTTTTAGTATTAATAACTCTCTCTCTCTCTCTCTCTCTCTCTCTCTTCTTTTTTTCTAGAATTGTTCAACTCCATTTAAACCTAGGTTTGCTAAATTTGCTCATGTATAATACTTATTTGTCGAAGGTTTTGGTTGCTTGAGAAAATGCCTTTCACGTTCTTTGAGGTGTGAACCAAAAAAACTTGATTGCATAGCGAACTCCTCTGTAAAATGATACTTGAAGCCTCTTTGGCTGGCAAGTCAAAAGACGAACTTGCGTTTAGGTTCCCTGGTAAAACCTTAATTGATCATTTTACTATTTATGGAGAATTATCGGTTCCGACATGGAAGTCCAATTCTTTTTAAGTTTGAAGTCATTGCTTTGTGCATCTTTTTGGTATATTTGAACTTGCAAATGAATTATGTACCTGCAATCCTTAGCATCTCATCAAGTTTAAAGGAATTATATCTGATCATTTATTACTCAGCATTTGAATATAGAATAAGCGATTTGTATTTAATTGCAAAGCACACTTACCTATTCAAAAAATTGGATGGACGCTTTTCACCATTTGGTAATGCATTGGTAACATCTAAATTATCTTATGTTGCACATTCAGATTTTAAAATGGGTGTTGCTGCAGATTTAAGAATATTACATTCTGGAGAACAAATGAGGCAGCAGAACTGCATTCAAGCATGGAGCACAGCACAGGATTGGTCCAAGCTATAATATTTGAAGCTGCTGACCGGGATAATATAGGTGGATCTGCTTATGGTGGTCAAAGATCCATTTGTTGCACTCCTGATCTTGCCAAGCTTGAGGGCTGCAAACAAGGGTATGTTATAAGGCGACCATCATCTGTAAATCCTGAATGGCCTGTTGTAATAAATACATATTTCAGTGCTAATTTATTATATGCACCAATGGATGACCGAGATGTTTACATAACAAAGACAGGAATGTACAACTTGTTCTTTATCTCCTGTGACCCTAAGCTTAGAGATCTTACAATGGCTGGAATGGCATATTGGAAGAATCCTGATGGTTATTTGCCAGGAAGGATGGCCCCTTTGATGAACTTCTACATATTCATGTCAGTTGCATATCTCCTACTTGGCATCATCTGGTTCTCTCAATATATGAGGTTTTGGAAGGATATATTGCCATTGCAAAACTGGATAACCCTAGTTATTGCTCTTGGCTTGTTTGAAATGACGCTTTGGTACTTTGAGTATCTGAATTTCAATAGCACAGGTGCAAGGCCTGTTGGTATTACAACGTGGGTAGTCACTGTTGGAGCTGTGAGGAAAACAGTTTCCCGTTTGCTTCTATTGTCTGTGTCAATGGGATATGGGGTTGTGCGGCCAACACTCGGTGGTCTTACTTCTAAGGTGCTTTTACTTGGCGTGACTTACTTTTTGGCATCGGAGTTGCTAGATATTACAGAAAATGTTGGAACAATTAATGATATTTCAGGCAAAACAAGGCTCTTTCTAGTGCTTCCCGATGCTTTTTTGGATGCTTTTCTAATTCTCTGGATTTTTACATCTCTTTCTCGAACGCTGGAAAAGCTACAGGTAACTTTGAAAATTTTCAGCTATTTTTGGTCATAACAGGAACAAGAAAAGGCTTTGCTTTTAACTTTCTTCAGGCTTCGTCTGTCTTAGGCAAGGAGGAGTTCCGTGAAGTTGGAAATATATAGGAAATTTACAAATGCATTGGCAGTTTGTGTAATTGCTTCTGTTGCTTGGATAGCATATGAGGTAAGAGTTCATTCTTTCATACCTTGCAGGAGCTGTTTTTCATTCCATGAAATCGTTGAAGCAGTTTTTTTAATTGCATTCTTTTGTTTTCTTACAAAAGTACTCGCCACTTCTCTAGCAGTCCCTTTAATCTGTGTTTACATTCCCCATGGAAGCCATTTGGAATTCTGGATGCAGGCGTTGTTATTCTTACATTCTGTCTATAGTTTGCAATGGAAGTTGTTTGATGGATTGCTTGATCAAGATAATAAGGGAATCTTTCATGCTTTTAATAAGACACAGGGATTAACTTCAAACAAATAGAACTTAATTAATCATATACCTATTATACATAAATCTTTTGTCAATCTAACTATTTTTGCCTAGCATATTTATTATGACCTTTTGAAGGGAAATCCGCGTTCACTTAATGTCGTATGGAAAAATTCAGAAATCCATAGAATTCTTATAATCACATAAACCAAACAAACTTAGAAATTTAGGTGATGCAAGACTGAACCAAATTCTCCACGGGCCACCTAATTCAGTAGCTTTGAATGCCAATTTGAAAACTCATTTGACAAAAACCATCTCCAGTTTGAGATTAAAAAGGCCATTTTTATTTAAAGTTGCTAGTTGCAAAGATGACTTAGGTGCTTGGTAATATAGTAAGCACCATATAGTAAGGGTGGATTCTTGTATCTTCAATTATTTAGTGGATTATTTTTGCTGGGATAAGCCCCATGGGTTGTCCTTTTTTTGGCAATAGAGTGTTTATTCTTAAATTGTACAAAAATTCAACATGCACACAAATAAATGTTGCAAGATACTTTAGAAATTTTTACATGGAAAATAAAAAAATGGGAGAAACATGGGGTCCTGAACTAGTTAAGTTAATCCATTAAATAATTGAAGATACCGAGGGCACTGAAAATTAGTGCCTTGGCCTCTCCGCACGTTTTTATCGAGGAGAGTTTTAATGGATGTTGTTTTGAGGTAAATTCTCAGAAGACATTAAATTTAAGATAATACATCACTCAAAGATTTTCCCCTTATTTCTCAAGGAGTTATTATTTGGTTTCAAGTCTCTTATAAGTGTAAGCCTCCATGGTTAATTATCCCTCACTTTCAATGGCAAGAGAGAACTTTTGATTAAGACTAGTTGTTAGATAGACATAAGTACCCAACGTATTATAGCATCAGTTTCAAGGTTTAAATTATGTTACATCCTGCAATTTTTATTTGCGTGCATGTTAAATCTTTAAACAAGCTAAGATATTTAATGTTTTACCGCCGTAAAATTTTTTGGGACGTAACAAACCTAAATTCCTCAATTCAAAATATGAGAATTCAAACCACAATGTGACGCTTTCTGCTCTACTATTTTGAGTATAAACATTTCATGTACCATAAAATAGAAGAAACAACATCAAATAACCAATCAAGCTTAGGGAGATTTGGGTATATCTTTTTCATACAAACAATCATGAAAGTCATGGTATTGTTACTATCCATTATATAACTAATAAAGTATCGAATAACATCAACTTATTATTAATATTATGTTTATTAATAGCAACAGTTATTTCTTAAACTATATGTTGCATGTTGGTAAGTTTTAGAAAAATAAAATGTTGGTATATGATTTTTTTCTTCAGTAAATCTTATTTGTGAAAAATATGATAGATTAAATTAATGATTGCATCTTTCAAATTATTTTATACCTATTTTGTATACAAAATTGTATATTTATAATTAATTTATGGTTAAGGTCATCATACTGGCACAAAGACCTGCAATCCATTTATGGCATTGAACCTTATTTAAGCGTTATCAGGAAGCATGATTTGCATGATAGGCTGATAGCGGTCTAGAAATCATCCAAAAGTAAGAATTCTTGTTATTTTAGAATTTTCAATGAAAATATTTTTAAATATGTCATTTCAAAATTTGAAATTTAATCGGTAAAAAAATACTTAAAATTGCATCCAAAACTGTACACCACATTTGTCAAAATTGAAATTGTGCATTCTTTTAGATCTGTGCATGCCTTAAAACTGAAATTGAAAGTTTTAAAACCTTGAAGATTCGTCCACGTAGTGATTTTGTCTTTTGGGGATGCAACCTAGGCTTCGTTTGGGATGACTTTCTTATTACTTTTTAAAGCTGCTTTTCAGTTCAAAAATTAAAAATTTAATACTAAAAAGCAACTTTAAGAAACAGAAAAAAAATGCTGTCTCAAATAAAACCTTAATTTAAATGGAGGGTTTAATTCTCAGCCAAATCTCACGTCAAGAGATATGTGGCTATCAATGCTGCAACCTCAACAATTTATATATTTACTGGGAAAATATATCATCTTCACCTTTGATATACTGTATATGTATAACCATTCTACAGGTTTATTTCAAAGCAACAGACCCATTCAGCGAAAGGTGGCAGAGTGCATGGATTATCACCGCCTTCTGGGACATCCTTTCTTTTGCACTCCTCTGTGTCTTGTGCTATCTCTGGGGACCATCTCAAAGCTCTCAAAGGTAATATTTCTTTCTAAAAATCTAGTCGGAGAAATTATTATGTGCGGAGTCCGGACATAGATTTACATCCGGACTCCAATAAAATACTACATATGTTCAAATTTGTACACAGTGTATATTATGTATATAAGTTTATACGCACATAATTCTGTAATTTGCATATAGTGCGTACAAGAACACGTGTCACGTTTTTATTGGAGTCCAGACATAACCGGACTCCGCACGTAATAATTTCTCCGGAGAAAGACATAAAAAACCTCCTCCTTAAACAGTCTGTATATCTGTTATCAACAGATACGCCTATTCAGGCGAAGCAGATGCTGATGATGAAGAAGCTCAATCCTTAACAAAAGGAATGGCAGATGGAAATATTGGCCTGACTAAAGTAGAAAAGAAAGAAAGAAATGACGATGATGACGATGATGATGCTTATGATATTGAAGCTGAGGTTGAAGAGGACAAGAGAGAGTAATGAATGCTGCTGCCTTCGATTCTTTGCACTCTTTATTTTGTTCTTTTTTTTTTTTTTCATTTTTGTGGTTCTTTTGCATTCAAAGCCATTATCATGAAGGATATTAGGAGAAGATTTACAGTTTCTTCTGTCTGTATATAAGATTGTTCAAAAGCATAGTTACGGAGTTTTTCTTGTCATGTTTGGAAGTTCTCAGGCTATCTATTGAAAGCAATATGTAAAAATAGTGCAATGGGTTTCATCTCAATGAAGGAGAAAATTGTATCAGAATGAATCTCAAAATTTTATTAATTTTTATTTATAAATTAAAATTTTATTAAATATGAATTAAAATTAAAGATGGAAGATATTTTGTTTAAATTTAAAATTAGTAATTATTTATATTTAAATATATGATAAAAATTAATAATTATTTATTTTTAAAATAATATTATCTCATAATTATTATAGATTTATATTATTATTTTTGTATCATTCAAATGTTTTTAGTATTTAATTAATTATTATGCATTCCAGTTTCTCAAATTCTTTTATTTATTATAAAACAAATATAATTAATTTTAAAATAAATTTAACAATTTAAAACTACAATATGGTCTTGATCTTGGTAATGATCCTTAAGGGGCATATCATCGAACACCTTTGCGGCATGGTAAAAGAGGCTAGTTAGAACATTTCTTATCTGATTAATTATATACCATTATCAGCTAATTACATTTACATATACTTAATGGGGAGATAGCTGTGTAGCGTGCTGAGCCTAGTTAGACGAAATCACTTATGCTAAATGATAAGGGAGTATAATTGACGAGGCTAGTATTGACCTCGATTTTCGTACGCTTTGCTCTCGATCATGTTTGATCAATTCAATTGAGTCACGATGAGTTAGATCCAAGCCGAATCATTGCTAATCTGAACTTAATTTAATTAAATTTGCATTCATTAAATTATATTAAGTTCAAATTGGCCCCAATCGAGTCGAATCTGACCCGACTACACTCAATCGGTTATGATCAATTCAATGTCGGTCACGTCGAGCCTATTTTTTTTGTTAATTTTTGATTGATGCCGATTATGGGTTCAGCTTTATATGATTAAATCTATTGAATCCGCTCGAACCCAAACTGCCTCAGGTTGAGTCAAATTTGTACTCGGGTCTCACTTGATTTAGCCCAATCGAATTATATTAAGGCTCATTTGACTTTTTTAAAACAAAATGAGAAATGTCATCGACGGTCCCGATTTGCCTTGAAGCTCGAAGTCACAAGAGGCTGCAGTCGCGTGAGTTACTTGTTTCGGATAGATGCAGACTTCTTTTTGAAAAGCTCGAGCGCGGCAAAGCTTTATTCCATGTATGGAGGCGGGATCGAGACGGCAAAGCTTTTTTATCTTGCTTCTTTTTCTATCTCCACTTCTTCTACATTTCTTCTTTTACTCCTCCATGCTTCTACTTCCTCCTTCCCCTTACATCTATTTTTGGGATATGAGTAGTGAAGCAGTCTATATTTTTCTTAAGAAATCTGAGGAAATCTTGTGACATTGAGTTGAATACTACCATATGAATGCTTTGAGTTTTAAGTATTGCATTCTAAAGAGTAATAGCACTTGAGTTCTTTACAAAAATCTGAAATTTAGTATTCTCTTGGTTTTCTTTTCTATAAGTATACATGGGTGTTTTCTTATTGAGTTGTTTATATGAATCATGAAAGGTTGTGTGGGCTATTTATATGATTGCAATCAAGTGTGTGTAAAAATCATGGTGTTCATGCTAGTTGGTTTTATATGAGCTTACAATTATTACATGCCACATGTTTAAAGAAATGTCTTTGAGGAGAGGTTGTGATGTTTGATTGGTGACTCATGAGACTTAAGCTTGTATATCAAGCCTTTTTACCAAATGTTTTGCTAGCATGTATAGATATAAAGACTTCACTTTGAGTCTTCTTTGTCATTGTGAGGTTGGACATAACTATGTTTGCTAGGTTTCTCCCAAAGTTTCTCTAATGAGATGTTTAGGGCTCTCTTGCTATTGATGTTTCATGATAAGTTTTGTTGATCCCTTTTCCTAAGCATGTGTTGATGATATGTTTAAACTATCATAACCCATCTTTGTCTCAACATTTGGATTTCATGCGGAGTCCAAAGGTTGAAACCTTTTGGAGTAAAGTGTAGTGGACTAGCCTTTATCTTTTGTTGCTAATGTGATGTTTTGAATGTCTTTTGAATAAGAACTTTTCTAAAATGATTATTGTGTGAATCATGAAAGATTTTGTGTAGATTGATTGGTTGAGTTCAATCTAATAAGTGTACAAATCATGATTTTCATGCCAACTTGTTTTATGCAACTTTGTAGATATTGCACACCAAATATTTGGTGAAATGTCATTAAGGGAAAGTTGTAACTATTCTGCTCATATAGAGGTTTTATGTGATAGTCTCACACACATGGATGTTCTCCCAAAATCATTAGTTAGAGGTTTAAAAAAAAAATGAGGACGAATTTGTTTCTTTGATGAAATATGTGGAGTTATAGATCTTTCTTTTATTTACTCAACGCTTGCAAATGGGTTTTGTATCTTCCAAAATATGTGAGCCCTCTTTTACTTGAAACATGAAGATTAATTTATGATGTTCTTATGCCCCCGTTTTACCAAGGCTTCATTTTGGGAGATCAAATTAGTTTAGTTGATCTTATGAGTATAAATTTAATTGGTTTGAAATCATGTTTCTGATACAAATATCTGATGCTCTCATTCTTTGTAATGCACATATTATTGAGTTTAAATCATTATTCATATTCCCCATTGAAATATCACATGCTATACATATATTCGACGAGAAGTATCGAAGAAATTTTGTGTCGGAATGTATTTTTGGGTGATGTGTGAATTGACATGGTTTCCTTATCCTACGAATTTTTGACATGGGAATGCATCCTTTATGATTACTGAAATTTGTCATTCATTGGATCATGATCTCACATGTATAAAAAAAATGCTTTATTCTCTTAGATTTTTGTTGACATATTCGTTAGCTTTATGGAGTGGATCTTCTCTACAATGTACTTTCTAATGATGTTTGATATGACGGTATATTTATTTACGCATTGAAGATATTGAGTTAAACAAGTCTCTATGGCTAAGCAAGAAAAATGACCTCTCTAGGATCATCCCTCTTGCCGCAAATTGCCTTTTCTTTCTTAAGTGGATGTGCTTTGTTCCCTTTCCTCTTCCTTGGGCGTGGTTTTGACAGCGAAAAGATTATGGGCTGTTTGGGCTTCCTTCCTCGTGAATTTTGGCATTGTCGATGTTTTTTATGCTTATGAAGTTTGGTCATTTCTCGAATTGGCATGAAATGAGAAGGTTGGAAATTTGGTGGTAAGCTTTAAGAATTGTGTTATATTGGAAAGTTGTTGGTGAGCTTCAAAAGTCGTGGCAAAGCATTCTGTGGTAGAAAATTTTAAGATCTGCTCTATGTTGGAAGATTTTGTGATGCACTTCAGGGTGGAAGGCCTTGTGAAGTTCCCCTTTTGTTGGAAAAGTTTATAGATTGCCTCATGCTCAAAAGATTTATGATTGGCTTTATGATTGGAAGGTCTTAGGGAATAAAATGGGTTGGAAGGATATTTAGTTCCAAAGAATTACGACGAATGATAGAATAATTTCATTTTATTCTTAAATCTTGATTTTTTTTCACTTATTTGAGTTTTATATGGAAAGTCATGTTATTGAGTGTGATTTAAAAAGTTTATGAGTGACTTCATGTTTGAAAGATTTATGACTCTTTTTGTGTTTAAAAGAACATTGATTTGTTTTAAGTTGGAAAGATCATGCTCATGTTTAGATAGCAAAAATCATGTATTTGGAGAAATTCATAAATTCCGTTGTGTTTTAACATTGGATACAAACGTGTAATTTTCTTTTGGATGTTTTGGTGTCATGAAGTATAAAGGGTAGAAGTATGTTGGTAAGCTCTATGGATTACTTTATGGTTAGAAAGTTCTATGAGATGTTTTATATTGAAAAACTTTATGATTCACATTATGTCCAAACTTCTATGACTTATTTTATGTTTAAAGGTTTCATGAGTTGTATTTATTAGAAAAAGTTTTGTGAATTGTTTTGCCTCGAGAAGTTCTACTACGTGCTTTGTGAATGTTTTATAATAGAGAGCCTCATGAAACTTTCTTGTTAGAAGATTTTCATGAATTAATCCCACGCCAAAAGGAAAAGCACTTGTTGTTTGTTTTGTGTTGAAAGAAGTTTTTGGTGGACTGAGAAATGTTTCATGTCGTTTCATTTTGGGAGGTCCTACAAGTTATTTTAGGTTTGAGAATTTTTCGAATAGCTTCGTGTTGGAGGGCTCTTTATCTCTTTTCTTAGAACGAGATGACCCTTTATGTGGAAGTTGTCTTTCTTTTGTTTGTGTTTACTTCTAAAGATATGTTTGGATAAATATGGAGTAAGAGTTTATTTGGGTTTTAGTTTTGGGGGCTTGTTTTTCCTTCGTTACTTTGGGCTTCGTATAGGATATAGTGTGAGTGATTGAGTTGGGTATTTCGAGTGCTTATTTTGGAATGTGGGAATAGCAAATAGCATCAAGACCCTTTTTCTCTTTTTCTTATTGTATTGAATTGGAGTGAATGGCATTTTAGAGGCGTGCTTGGCTTTGAATAGGCATGTCCAATAGTAAGATGCTTACATTCCATTTATTATTTTGATTTTTTCATTCCTTTCTTTTTGACATTTTTGTAATCTTTTTCTTTACTTCTCGTCTTTCTGTTACTTTTTTTTTTACATATTGTCTTGTTTTATTTATAGATTTCTAAACCTATTGATGCATGCACGAACGTCCAAAGGGTTAGAAATGAATTCCCTTTTATCCCCTATAACATTAGTGACACATAAAGACAAAAATTAAGGATCGAGTCTTAGATAACATAGACTTAGGATATTTGCTCCTTATAGGATAAAGATATCAAAACATAAACTTAATGACACATTTTCTTAGATTTAGTGTGCTATAACTCATTAATAACCAACCAACAATTCATTCTTAATCCTAATCAAAATGCATTAAAATATTTAACTTTAAATCAAATCATAATTAATGTTCATAATCTTTAAAATGCAAACTTGAACATAAGCTTAAACTAAACATAATCGACCCATTAATCAACTTCTAACAAATCTAAAACTTAAAAGATGTAGACTAAATTAGGAGAGCAAATATAAACTAAAATTAGGAGAGAAATCCAAACCTTAAGCTAATCTTTTAAAATCAATCAACAAATCTTCTGGTTAATAAATCATTTAATTTATCTTTCTTTGTTAATTTACAATCAACTAAATTAATCCAACAAAATTGGTTACCATTGGGTAACCCAGACCTACGAGACTATTAAGTTAACGGCCCAAAGACTGATGAAATAAACCTCACAACCTCGGTGAACAACAAAGATGGTAACCGACTAAATACTAAAATAAAATTCTTAAAATCAATTTTAAAATATTAAGATTTAAACTTAAACTAAAATCTTTCTCTTAACCTTTAACAAATCAAAATAAAAATAATTTGAACTAATTATCCAGCATAGGATATACCCAAAACCACATAGCTATTACACACACATAGACTTATTTGTTATGACACGAATTATAGCTCTAGGTTAGGCCAATGTTTTATTTTGCTATTAATGTCAATTCCTCTCTCCAAATTAGAGAACTCTCACCTTGTTTTATGTTTTAGCAATAACATTCATATATTTTATAAATGCAAATCTTGAATTTTTTGTTAATTATATTTTTATTTATCTGCATTCTTTTTTTGAATAGCCTTTATGCTCATCCCATGTTTTCTCTTGTCTTATTATTTGCGAGGTACAATGTGTCCTACATATGTGAATCAAATGGGATCATTTGCGTGGGAGCTTTTGAGTGGGCATGCCACGGTCATGTATAATCACTGCAACTTGTAAAAAGACCTCTAATTATATATCGAAATTGTTACTCACCACACACACTTTCGCTAGTAGTTTTTTAGTTTAATATATATTCTAGCATGTTTATGTTGCTGGCCATAGATTAGTGCACTAATGAAGCTTTGGCCCTATAGGCCAAGGCTTACCCACTTCTGTAAGCCCTAGAGATCATTCTGATCACCTTAGATCTGTAGTGTAGGCCAACCCATTTGTGCTACATGCATCGCTGTTTTTCCCATACGAAGTGGGCATAGTTAGGATGTTCCATTTTTTCGGTTTTGGGTGTGATACCCCCCACCTTCTGTGAGCCCTAGAGATCATTGGGGTCATTTTAAGCCTGTAATATAGGTCATCTACTTGTGTCATGTGCATCGTTGCTTTCCCACACGAAGTGAGCATCGTTAGGATGATTTTCTATTATGGTGTGATGCGGGCACCTTGCTTGGAGGGTATCCTTGGTATGTTTCTTTAATTTATGTACTCTGGATGTCATGAAATGCATAATTATTTTTCTATTGGTTCACATTGAGCTTTTAAATTATATATGTTTGTACTACACTCATGCATGCATCATATACGGCGATAGGTAGATTCTTTGGAATATTACAGAGTATCTGATTTAAACCTCAAAACTACAAATTCTTGATTCATTAAGATAGAGCCTTTTTGTCTTGCATACATATAGGGTGATTGATTGTGTTTAGGATGTTAGCTAGCAGCTCACTCAAGGCAAGCATAAGTCCAGATTGTACACCCCTCAGTATATCTCTTTCACTTCTGATGAATTTTCAGTCTATCATTTCTCCAAGGATAGCAAATTCTATCTTTGATCTTTTAAACTCAAAGTTTTAATCATATCATTCTTCATTTAAAAAGGTCTAATTATCATTAAAGACAAAGAGAAGAGACTCTTTGGAATAGAACTTAGGAACTTTCTCTGTGCATCGAATTAAGAAGAGAATAATACAACGTCATTTCTCAACAACATAAAAAAAGTCTCATCCAAACAATTTAAGCCAGAGATTTGTGGTAGAGAACCCTTTTGTTCTCAACAACATAAAAAAGAAAAAAAAAACAAATAAATAAGTATGAAGTATGCAAAATAATAATATTAATTACAAAGACTTTATAAGTACAATATCCATTATCATCTACAGTACAATATATTATCCAAACTTCTGCAGTATAGGAGCATGTCTCTATCATAATTAAGAACCACCTAATATTATTATTATTGTTTTTATAATAACCGTCTCCCTAAAATATTTTAAAGTTATATGATTTTTTAACACAGAAGTCATTTCTCATAAACATGATATTCACCTTACCTCATCCAGCCACTTCCGCTGCCGCTGGTGGGCTGCCATGCACCTTGGGAGGTCGTTCCCCAACATCAATGTAGACGGCGGCAATATACAAATCAAGGAGCGAATGACGGCAAGTCGGGCAGGAGGAGTGCGATGAAAGCCATTTGTCGATGCAACGAACATGGAACCCATGGTTACAGGTAGGTAGTAGCCGAACCTTTTCTCCTCCGAAGAACTCGACAAGGCAAATCGGGCATTCAGTCGTCGATATGTTTGTGCTGGAGCCATAGATTGCCACCTGGATCTGCTTCAAGTCGCTCTTCTTCAATCCCGTCGTCGCCAACTGCGCCACCGTTGCCTCCGTAGTCTCAAACAAGAGCCGCTGAACCCACCATAGAGTGAATCGAATAAGTGAGTACAACCCTAGCATGCATATTCGAACGTAGAGGAGGATTGCCAGGATGATGATTATATTCTTATTGAAGTTCCAATGACCGTCTCCACCGAGACCCATGGAGGTGCTCCGATTAGACGGATATGGAGACGAGGTAGCTAACATTTAGTATGACTTCATGAACAGTGCCAGTGGCGAAACCTATTTAAGAAAAGAATGATGAGGAGTTCAAACAACTACAAAAAGAAATCCTGAATTCAGCGGACATACGACAGTATTTAGGAGAAGAAGTTGGCCAAAGGCAGCGAGCTCCCGTGGAGACTTCGATCCGACGTCGTTCAAGGAGGCGAAGAAGCTTCGGGTGGCTCTCTCTTGGTCTTGAGCAAAGCCGAAGCAGCAACGACGAAATGGCGATGAGGAAATAAATGTAAAAATAGTTTTTATAGATAAACCGTTGAATTAACTCTCTCATTGCAGTCCTGATTTTAAAGAATTTGTATGTGAGATTAAGACTTCCTAATCATGACTGATTAGGAAATCTTCATCTCTCCTACAACTTCTATAAAATCAGAATTGATTAGGATAACTTCTTAATCTCACCTACAAATTCATTAAAATCAAGACTGTAATTAATGTTGCACTTATATTTTTATTAATGGCATTCACTTGAACAACATAATCCTTGCCCCTTTTTCTTATCTTTTCTAGGCCATGGTTACCGGTGTAATGGAGACTGAAAGTTTTTCTTAGGGAGATTTATGCACGTACCACCAATATATTTTTTATTTACAACACTAACTTGAGGCATTTGAAATGAGCTATTGAATTCATGTACATTAAAATCATTCAAAATTTAATGAAACAAAAAAATATATTTGAATGATATTAATGTAAATGAAGGTAGTTCAATGCTACTTATGTAAATAGAAAACATTTGATTGTCATGCAAGTAATTGATTTCACAGAAGAAATGCACTTAAGTTTTTGAGGAGAGTGAATCTTCAATTTTGATGTTTGTTGTGCTCATCTGGACTTGCTATTGACAAAAAATCATTCAAGAATATTATTTTTTCATTATTCTAGAATTTTTGTCTTTCTGCTTGGAAGAGGTCAGATTTTGATGCATTGACATTCCTTTGTTGCATGTTATGCATAGGCAAGATGATGAAAGGCTACATGTTTTTTAGGCCTTCGAATGGGTGGGATTTTTTCAAATTAGATATATCATCATTTTTTCAGTCATCAGACAGCTAGATTCTGTGTTTATCTTGAGCTCTTGAATGCTTAAAATCTTATGCTCAACTCAAATGTACTTGATCATTTTGCATATTGAATACCTTTTTGATATTTTTTTGGCTCTACAAAATTAAAAACCAATGTGGGAAGCCTTTAATCCTCTCTTCCTAAAAGTAAGACTAAACCAAAAAATGTGTTGACTATAGTCTGTGTAGTTTCTACATCAATTTGATGTTAACTTTAAATTTTGACAACCCTTTAACATCCGTTGATATTCCGATAATATTAGTCTGTGTAGTTTCTGCATCAATTTTATGTTAACTCTAAATTTAGACAACCCTTAAACACCCATTGATCATTCCAATTTGGACTCTTGGTTGAGTGATGGTGGACCTTTTGCAGTCTTCTTCTACCTCTTCGCCAGCATTGTCGAGGTGGCATATGCCCCCTTTCTCTTTAACATTTCACGATTTTGGTCTCAAGTTCTAATTGTAAGAAATTGGTTGTTTTAGTTGGAGTTGGTTAACTGTTCTTTATCGAAACATGTAATAGCCACTCCAATTTTTGATGGAGTCAGTTATTCTGTCATTGAAGACAAACACCTTTATTCACAAATCTTAATGAGATAGAGAACTTTTGTTGTCATCTAGTTGATCTTATGTTCAACAAACATCTTGATTATGCCACAAAGGATGGTGTAGGAGTTTTACATTAGTTGCCTTGGCACCAAATGGTAGTACTCGTAGAAGTCCATCTTCTTGGACAATAGCTACAACTTGAGGCGGAATTGATCCACAAATAAGTACAACTCAACATTTCAGGAAGTTGTGACCTTCCCATCGTGTTTGTAAACTCCATTTCACACACACTTCTGATTCTGACCGCACTAGCTCGAGTCACTTGCTCATGCTCAGTTGCTCATGTACTCTCTCTAGCCCTCCCTGCAAACAAACAGGCCCAGCGTTATCTAAACCTCAAAAGCTGCAACCTGGCTTGATCTCATTGCTATAGACTCCGAATAATTCTTCTAGACGCTGCCATCGCTGCCCAGGTACAAACCAAGAATTATTCACTCTCATTTTGTATCCAAAAACAGAAGTTTTTGGTGTTGTTGTTGTAGTTGTTTGAAGTCGTAATCTCACCTATAAAATTTGTTAAGATTAGGACTGCAATGAGAGAGTTAATTCTACGGTTTATCTATAAAAACTGTTGCTGTACATTTATTTCCTCATCGCTATTTCGTTTGCTGCTTCGGCTTCGCTCAAGACCAAGAGAGAGCCCCCCCGAAATCCTGCATCCAAACAGGCCCAGCATTATCTAAATCTCAAAAGCTGCACACGCTGCAACCTGGCTTGATCTCATTGCTATAGACTCCGAATAATTCTTCTAGACGCTGCCATCGCTGCCCAGGTACCAACTAAGAATTATTCACTCTCATTTTGTATCAAAAACAGAAGTTTTTGTTGTGTTGTTGTTGTTTGATCTCCCCACCATTCTTTTTTTAAAGAGGTTTTGCTACTGGCACTGTTCATGAGGTCATACAAAATGTTGGCTGCCCCGCCGTCTTATCCGTCTAATCGGATCACCTCCATGGGTCTCGGTGGTGATGGACATTGGAACTTCAATAAGAATATAATCATCATCCCGGCAATCCTCCTCTACGCTCTAATATGCGTGCTAGGGTTGTACTCACTTATTCGATTCACTCTACAGTGGGTTCAGCGGCTCCTGTTTGAGACTACGGAGGCAACGGTGGCGCAGTTGGCGACGACGGGATTGAAGAAGAGCGACCTGAAGCAGATCCCGGTGGCAATCTATGGTTATAGCACAAACATATTGACGACTGAATGCCCGATTTGCCTTGTCGAGTTCTTCGAAGGAGAAAATGTTCGGCTACTGTCGACCTGTAACCATGGGTTCCATGTTCGTTGTATCGACAAATGGCTTTCATCGCATTCCTCATGCCCGACTTGCCGTCATTCGCTCCTTGATAGGTATGTTGCCGCCGTCTACATTGATGTTGGGGAACGACCGGCCGAGGTGCATGGCAGCCCACCGGTGGCAGCGGAAGTGGCTGAATGAGGTAAGGTGAATATCATGTTTATGAGAAATGACTCTTGTGTTCAAAAATCATACAACTTAAAATATTTTAGGGAGATATTATAACAATAATAATAATAATATCATGTGGTTCTTAATTATCAGAGATACGTTATTGTATTGCATAAGTTTGGATAATATATTGTAATGTTGATGGTAATAATGGATATTGGACTTATAAAGACTTTGTAATTAATATTATTATTTTGCGTACTTCATACTTAGCTATCTGCATTTTTTTTTCTTTTTTTTATGTTGTTGAAAGGATTCTCTACCACAAATCCATGGCTTAATTTGTTTGGATGAGACTTTAGAGCTGTATTGAATATGGAGAAGCTAGCCAAAGCCATGCATAAATAATGTTTGTTATCTTTGCGGTGAGCTCCCGTCCAGACTTCTATCCAACGTCGTCCAAGGAGGTGAAGAAGCTTCCGGGCTCTCTCTTGGGTGAAGCCGAAGCAACAACGAATAAATGGCGATGAGGAAATGTAATTTTATCTCTGAAAAATAAAACTAATGCATCAACGATTTTTTTAACTATATTAATGGCTAAAATTTGATTGCTTTTTTCCTAACCTTATGAACATTTTATAGATAATTATATGTACGATTGCACATTAGCAGAGGCGGAACCCGTCTTAATTTTCAGGGGGCAAACATATAATTAAAAGTATAGAATTTTGCTTGACACTGATTTGTTCATATCCTTGATTGTTATACGCTTCATAGATATGTCGGGGGTCCAAAGGGGGCAGCGCCCCTGGCGGAATTCGACCTGCGGGGGTCAAGGGGCAGCGCTTCTATGGGGGTTATCGGGTGCAGCGCCCCCGGAACAAATTTTGGTTGTAAGGATATTTTTTGATTGTCTTTTCTTTGTATTTGGTTCATCGTTCCCTAACAATAGCACATCTACACAATATGTTTAATTATGCTGGAGGCAATTGCTTAAAAATCATAGTATGTTAAAACTTTTAGGGGGGCAATTGCCTAAAAACCCTTCTAATAAAGACTAAAAAATAGATTGAGGGAGAGAAATTAACTGAAAAATGATATAATAAAAAGTATTTGTTTAAGGGGGGCAATTCCCCCGCCACCGGACTTAAGGTGGATCCGTCCCTACACATCGACCAACGATTTGAATCGGAGAAAAAGGCTTCACAAATAGTTACTGATAATTACATCTAAGACTTCATTAACATTGCTAACCTGATCAATTATACTCCCTTATCAGTTAGCATAAGTGATTTCGTCTAACTAGACTAAGCAAATTGACCCAGCTCTCTCCCCATTAAGTATATGTAAATGTAATTAGCTGATAATGGAATATAATTAATCAGGTAACAAATGTTCTAACTAGCCTCTTTTACCATGTCGCAAAGTTGTTCGATGATATGCCCCTTAAAGGATCATTATCAAGATCAAGGCCACATGGTTTTTTAGTTTGATAATGCATGAAATTAGATACTTTGGCATTTGAGACCTTAACAATTTTGTCTCATTTGCTCAATTCATTTCTCACAAGCTTATCATATAAAATTAAGCTCTAAAGTTATATGATTATATCTTTTATTAGCTCATCAAATTTTTTTTTTCTTTATTTGATACAATTAATGAAATTAAGTGTCTCCTAATATTTGGTTTACCCATAATTTAAGCGAGCACTAATAGAGTTGATAGATAGTATTAATGTCAAAGGACTAATTAGGAAAAAGGATAAGCAAAAGCAACAAGACCAAAAGCTGTGCAAGTAACTGATAAAATTAGAATTAAACCTAACACATAACTCAATATAGAATGAATAAAGGAAGATTATGATGGCTCTATATTGCACTTATTAATATTGTTGTCATTGTTACCTCTGATCGATATTTTCATATTCTTCATCAATTATAGAGCCCATGAAAGCTTTTTCGCTTCCTTTAATTGATTAATTATTCTGTGCGGATGCCCAACACCGTCCGGAGACCAACCAAAATGTGCCATGTCACCCATGTGCTCGATATCGGGGCTCGGTACTGCTCGGTATCGGGGCTTGATACTGCTCGGTATTGCGGCTCGGTACCCCTAACGCAGCGCATTTTGGTTGGTCTTCGAATGACGTTCTGCATATGATCTAACACAGAACTCAATATAGAATGAATAAGGAAAGATTGATTTTGCTCTTCATTTTCTTCGTTTTTTTGCAGTTCTATTTTGCTTGCATTGCGCTACGTAGAGTCCGCGAAAGCTTCTTCGCTTCCTTAAATGATGACATTCTTCTTGTAGGATTGGAAGTCACAATGAGAGCTCGATCACTAATTTCATCTTTCTTAAGAGGATTAATAAAGCATATTCAACTAAAATTAATTAGCATTTGCAAAATCAAGAATGTGTGCAACTAACCAAAATGGAGAAATGATTTTGTAAGTTAATTAAGAGATGAAAGGATTTGAAGGCCATGCAAGGCCTCAAGAGCATGAAAGACATGCTCTTTACATAATTGAATTATATTTTCATATAAAAGTGCTTATATATATATATAGACAATTAAAGAGAGTAATAAAGGAAAAATATAATAATTAAAGATATTCTCAATAATGATAGCATATTATAGTAATAAATATTATAAATGTTTACTATAAAATAAAATTTTGAAATTTACTTTGACATTTTGATGATAATGAATAATATGAATAATTTTCACACAAGTTCTATGTGGTTTGCTTTCATAAAAAGTCATTACACATATAACATTATAGGTTATGGTGTTTATATGTTATACTCTAACATTTGGATAGATACTTATCTTTACAACTTATTTAAATAATAATAATAATAACTTAGGTCATATTATATTTCTTACAATATTATTAAACTTATGTAACTATGAAAGTGCAATTGTGTGATAAAATAAAGAATATTCAAATTAACCAAACATATGGCGTTTTTACTTACTAATTATGCGCTTCTTTCAATCACCATAACAATTGAGGTAGATAGCTTTGGACTTTTATACTCACATGTACCTTTTCAAATACTTAGCATGTAGTCAACGGATTGCTACAAAGGGACTCACACCTAGCGAATCCTATAGATAAACTCGCCCAACGACTATCAAATCTCACTCAATTGAAAAGCAAAGAAAAGCCCCTCATTTATATCAGCAGTTTTAACACCCTATAGCAACGATTATAACCGCTTCAAAACTGCAATTTGAACCAATGGCTGCAGTTAAAATCAATGCATTTCTTGCAATTTTTTCTTTCAAAAGAAAAAAAAATTTAAGCATGCACATATTTGAAAATTTTCATTAACAATTTATCATCAATTGCAAATTTCATCACAATTACGAGAGGTCTACAACAATGAAATATGTAAAAATACATTTGTAATCATAAACATAAAATGTGCAATATTTACATACTTTCCTAAAGATTGAATAAATGATAATATCATCAATACAATTTAATCCTCAATGAAAATGTAAGATTAGTTGTTTACATGATGTATCTACTCTCTTTCTCAATTACACGCATCAAATTTCAGAACTACTAAAAATTCAATGAATTTGGACTGTTCCTTGTGCTACTAACTGAGAGCAATATGTCTAATGTTTCTGCAGCTTACAATCCATAGGAATATGAGCGAGCCAATTTCATTGAGGAATTGACAGAGTAACAATTTATAAGCCAATTTATCAAATCTTCTAAATCTATTAGCACAGAGTTCAAAATTCTAATAAAGAAGATGGATTGCTCAAATTCCTTTTCTATATTTTTACTTGATTGCCAAGTCACTGACTACTTAAATGCGAAGCTTGGAACTTGGCAAGAAATCATGAGCAACTTCCTAGAAATGACAAAAGTTGTCGAGAAGAAGTTAGAGTGGAAATGACAAAATTTGACATGCATCACAAACATTTGTAAACTTTGGACTAAATAACATCAAGCATTACAAGTATTTAGATAATAAAATTTATATTATCATACATCAGAATATATTTTACTACCTAAGTTTTAAAAAAAATTAAAATCCTTATAACATTTTAAAACAAAACATCGGCCATACATAAGGAAAATATTGTGCACATTTATATTGACATAGAGGTCAGCGCCACAGCCCATCGGAACGCCGTTGCGTCAGAAATTTAACACCGTAGCATTGGAGTCTCGAGAAAATGAGTGCCTGAGCGCTGGACCTTTTAACGCCGAGGAGCTAAATTTCACATTTCTGCTCCGCAGCGCTCAATTTTTTGAGCGCCTCATTCGAGCAGTTACCAAATTGAAGAGCGGCGTCAATTCAGTGAAAGATTCGTAGTTTCCTTCAATAAATGTGCTAGGTCATCCAACGTCGCAACGAAGCCATAATTACAGCACCGGGCACTATTAAACTCATTTTTGTATAAAGTCAAACTTTATATCATATCCTACTAGTTATTAGGTTTTCCTATCTTCACGTAGAAACCATAGAAAGTGACATAGTGCTAACAATGCCATAGAAAGTCAGCAAACCCTTAACAAGCGCTTTCCCATGAATGTACATTGATACTGGCGAGAGTCTTCCTGTGAAATTGACTTCTTCGAGCGCGAACCAATGGGTTAGGTTGATTCGAATTCAATCAATTAAAAATATATTAATATTAATGTGAATAAAATACGATCAAATCTAAATAAACCGAATTAATTTGGTCAAAATTAAATAAAATTAATTATTTAAAATTAAATAGGCTCGCATTGAAATAGACTCAATTTTAACCAACTCAAAATTAAATAATATCGAGCCAATTTAAATCGAACTTCATTAATTTGAATAAAATCAGATTATGTTAATAAAGTCAATTTCAACCAAATTTAATTCAAATGTATTCAAAAAATTAACCACAACTCAAATTAAATTAAATTTAAATAAATTAAATTCACCCAAATCAACTCAAACTCAATACGATTTAGGCTTTGTTTGGGACGGCTTTTTTATTGCTTTCTAAAACAGAGTTTTAGTAAAAAATAAAAAAAATTGTATTAAAACTCTATTTTAGAAATCAATAAAAAAGTCGTACCAAACGAACTCTTAGCTTTCATATGGGACTGTTTTTTTACTGTTTTTTGAAACAGTTTTTTATATAAAATTTTTTAATTAAAATGTTTATTATATTAAAAATCTGTTTTAAAAAATAGTAGAAAATCTTCCCAAACAAGCGTTAGTATATTTGGTTTAGTCAATTTCAAAATTAATATTCCAATTTCCAAACCCTTTATTACCAAATCTAGCTTTTTATTAGATCTCATGGCTGAAACTTGAGTGGAGAGTGGAGACACCTCGGCCGATCCAAGCAGAGAGCGAAGGAGGGCAGCAGGGGATCTTGCGAGTGTTTTTCCTGTTCGTGCGTTTAGGGTTTAGCAGCGGCTGATCGGGCATCCAGCGCCTTCTACGCACGATCTGCCAACCCGAAGCTCGCCTCCGGCCCACACTGCCTCCGCCTGCTGCTATCCCGCGTGAACCCTCCGATCCCGCCTGGACCCGTGCGAAGACCTCCGACCGACTCCAGCTCCCGCACCTGGCCCAAATCCATCCGCCCGACCCGCCAGCCCCGTGCTTCCCGCGCACGAACCCGCTCCCGGTTCTCTCCTTCGAGAACAGAGAGTGCCGAGCCAGCTTCCTTCCCTTACTTCCCTGATTTTTGCATGCAAAGGAAAAGGTTCAAGGTTGAGGGGCTATGATTCCATTTCTTCCAAACCCAAGACTGTAAGTTTCCTCATCATTTCCAATTTCTTTCCTTTTACATATCAAACAAATATCACGGATAGTGCTAGCCATGCCATATAAAGTCAGCAAACCCTTAAAAAGTGCTTTCCCATGAATCTACATAGATAATAAGTTCCCTAAGCTAATTCTAAGACGGGCGAGTCTTCCTGTGAATTTGACTTCTTCGAGCGCGAACCAATGGGTTAGGTTGATTCGAATCCAATCAATTAAAAATATATTAATATTAATGTGAACAAAATATGAACAAATCTAAATAAACCGAATTAATTTGGTCAAAATTAAATAAAATTAATTATTTAAAATTAAATAGGCTCGCATTGAAATAAACTCAATTTTAACGAACTCAAAATTAAATAATATCGAGCCAATTTAAATCGAACTTCATTAATTTGAATAAAATCAGATTATGTTAATAAAGTCAATTTCAACCAAATTTAATTCAAATTTATTCAAAAAATTAACCACAACTCAAATTAAATTAAATTTAAATAAATTAAATCAAATTAAATTTAATTAAAATAAATTAAATTCACCCAAATCAACTCAAACTCAATAAGATTTAGGCTTCGTTTGGGACGGCTTTTTTATTGCTTTCTAAAACAGAGTTTTAGTACAAAAATAAAAAAAATTTAATTAAAACTCTATTTTAGAAATCAATAAAAAAGTCGTACCAAACGAACTCTTAGCTTTCATATGGTAATGTTTTTTTATTGTTTTTTTAAACAGTTTTGTATATAAAATTTTTTAATTAAAAAATTTATTATATTAAAAATCTGTTTTAAAAAAATAGTAAAAAAATTAAAAATCTTCCCAAACAAGCGTTAGTATATTTGGTTTAGTCAATTTCAAAATTAATATTCCAATTTCCAAACCCTTTATTACCAAATCGAGCTTTTTATTAGATCTCATGGCTGAAACTTGAGTGGAGAGTGGAGACACCTCGGCCGATCCAAGCAGAGAGCGAAGGAGGGCAGCAGGGGATCTTGCGAGTGTTTTTCCTGTTCGTGCGTTTAGGGTTTAGCAGCGGCTGATCGGGCATCCAGCGCCTTCTACGCACGATCTGCCAACCCGAAGCTCGCCTCCGGCCCACACTGCCTCCGCCTGCTGCTATCCCGCGTGAACCCTCCGATCCCGCCTGGACCGGTGCGAAGACCTCCGACCGACTCCAGCTCCCGCACCTGGCCCAAATCCATCCGCCCGACCCGCCAGCCCCGTGCTTCCCGCGCACGAACCCGCTCCCGGTTCTCTCCTTCGAGAACAGAGAGTGCCGAGCCAGCTTCCTTCCCTTACTTCCCTGATTTTTGCATGCAAAGGAAAAGGTTCAAGGTTGAGGGGCTATGATTCCATTTCTTCCAAACCCAAGACTGTAAGTTTCCTCATCATTTCCAATTTCTTTCCTTTTACATATCAAACAAATATCACGGGAGGTTCGAGCTATACGACTGAACCAACAAAAATAATTATTCATCTTCTCTACTCTGCGTGTTTATCAATTTTATCCTAATACAAATAAACAACTTCATGTGAAATTGTGAATGCCGATAAATAAAGGAAATATCTCTTTTGCTAATCATAGAAAATGACTATACTTAAAAATCTGTACGTTTTTTTTTATTATTTATCTTGATGTCATTGAACATGTTTGGAAAATGTTGGAGGAATCAAGGCAACCTTAAATTTTTTTTTTTTGGGACATTTAGGCCATTTAAGGCAAACTCACACACACAACGCATACACAAAGACTCGAGCCCAAGACCTCTTCATTGGAAGCATAAGCTCTCAACCAATAGGTCAAGGTGAGCTGTGTAAGGCAACCTTAAATGACAAGTATAATTTTTGTAAGTAACCGTTTTGGAGATAGCAAGCTATTTTCTTCACATGATTGCAAGACATTAAAAAATGAACTATATCAAAGTTCATAGTTTCCTTAGATATTTAGGCTTTGTTTGAGACATCTTTTTTATTATTTTTAAAGCAATTTTTTAATTAATTTTTATTTTTAAAGAAATTTTTGGACTAAAAAGCTTATTTAGAAAGTAATAAGGAAGTTGTCCCAAACGAAGCCTTAATTTTGTAAACAAATCTTATTATTTAGAAACATATTTTATGTTTATGTGGCTATAATTTTGAGAGTGAAGTTCTTTTTGTTGAAAATCCTAAGCCTTCACCCTACTTTTCTCTAGCCATAGATGTTTGATTTGTACTCAAGTTTTTTATTTTTTATTTTTTATTTTTATTTCTAATTATTAAATATTGATGATAGCTAAATTTTTTTATAATACATTTTTTATAAAGAGGCAATTTTAATTAATGCTCATTTGTTTTATTTATGAGATATTTTTTTTTATGAGAATAAATAACTTACAAGTTCGACAAGATTTGGTTTAAATTGGAGTAAAGCGTGAATTGTATCCTCATGTTCTTTCGAATGGTAGTTATATTTTACCACCAACTATATTTACCATGTCTAAGAAGGATAAGATAATATTTTGTGAAGTTCTCAAGAATATGAAGTTACCCAAGGGTTATTCATCAAACATTTCTAAGGGTGTTAACATTAAAGAGTGCAAAATAATATGTCTAAAAAGCCACAATCCTCATGTACTAATTGAGGATATTATGCCTATTGCATTAAAATCATGAGCACCATCAAACAAAGTTTTCACCATCATTGTTGGGATTTTATATTTCTTGAAATTCATATGCACAAAGGTCATAAATCCAATTGAACTTGACAAGAAACTGAAGGAAATTGTATTGACTTTATGTAATATGGAGAAGTACTTTCTCCCATCATTCTTCACTATCATGGTCCACTTGCTCATTCATTTGGTTGAAGAAGTGAGACTTGGCGGGCCTGTACATTATAGGTGGATGTACCCTTTTGAGAGGTAATATATTTTTTCTATTGCTTAAATGTTTTATTATTTAGTGGGGGTATATCACCTACATATTCATACTTTATATATTTTTCTTAGTATTAAAGGATTTTGTTGGAAATAATTCACAACCTGAAGGGTTAATTACTGAGCGATACATCACTAAAGAGGGAATTTCATTTTGCTGAAAATGTCTGGATGGTGCGCCGACTTTGTCCGAGTCCATTTCTACTAGAATTTCATCTAAGGATGATGGTGTTTCCAAGTTCTTGGTTGCCGGTAAACCTTTGGGTCAAGTGTCTATGTTTTTGTTAGATGACATATTATTGATTCAAAGTCATAGATAGGTGCTCCGACATTGTGATCATTTAACAAAGTATACTTATCTGTACAAGGAGGAAGAGAGACCAAAAAGAGCCAACAACTTTCCTCTAACGCCATTAGCTCTTAATAAACTTGTTAATGAACATTTTCATGATTGGTTCAAATGAACAGGAAGATATGAAAACATCTCTTCAGTCAATTTCAATATCATATGCCTAAATTGATTAATAATTTTTTTTTAGATTACATGTACAGATGAGTCAATTGTTTTAGAAGAAGTTAGATCCCTCGCGGTTGGTCCTAAGCAAATCACACGAAGATTTAAAGGATTTTATATTAATGGGTATGAATTTCATACTAAAACTTGCGATGAGAACAAGAAAACACAAAATTATGGTGTTGTTAACAAAATTGAAGTCGGAAATTTTTTTTATTATGGTTGACTGAATGATTTTATTGAGCTTGATTACTCCGACTTATTTCACGTGGTTTTGTTCAAGTATGATTTGGCTAATACAACTTCAGTTGGCATTAAAATAGATCATTATGGAAATACATTGGTTAACTTTTCATGATTAATACACACAGATGATAGATGGGCAGATAATCCTTTTGTTTTTTCATCACAAGTTGAGCCTATTCTGTTCATTGAAGATCCAAAGAATAAAAATTTAAACTTTGTCTTACCAGTAAAGGCTAGAGATGTTTTTGATTCAAGCCTTTCTCGACATAACAATTATATATGAATTTATGCAAAGGTAATAACGTAACATTTAAATTTACATTTAATTTCATATCTGTTGTGTTTAACAGAAAGTAAGCATGAATTTATGTATCGTATTCTGTTCAACCTTTAATATCGTATTCTATTCAACTGTACTGTTTTGAGCACTCATTTATTTATTATACAGTTTTGTAGACTTATGGACGTAGATAAAATATAGCTATTTGATTGCTTTTGCATTGTGAGGCCATGCAGCAGTTATATGATGTTTAGCTCTTTCGGACAATCTATGCACTTGAGACTCATTTTTGATAGAATTACAGTATCATGAATCTCGAGATTTATTTTTTATTGTTTGTATAACTGGAAGGCTACCTAGACCCTTACTCTAGAATGGACCTTAATAAGAATAAAGTCCAAAACATCTAAATTTGCTTCTTCCATCTGTTTATTTCTTTTATTGTTTTGAATTCATAAATTTTTATTGCTTGATGTCTGTAGTTTCTCAATATACTTTTGTAAATTATTTTATTGTTTTCAATTCATAAACTTTTATTGCTTGTTGGCTGGGAGAGTCGCTCGTTGAACCATGTGTTTTGCTTGCAGTAGTCCACAGCATCGATGGTATGGTGAGTACCTGTACTATTCCCATCTGGTTTTATAACGTTTACATCAAAAATTGTATACCTGAAATGAACATCTTCATGGCTCCACCTGCCTGTGACTTGCACATTTAATTAAACTCCAGCAAACTACAAGTATCTTTTTCTTTCAGTTAATATGAGAAGTACAGATTCTATACCCGAAAATAGCTAGTTTGATTATTCTGTCCCATATCATGATATTTTAATAATTATCTTGGTTTTTGTTTGTACTAATAGGAATGACAAGAAGTGGTTCATTCTGACGTGTTAAAAAGGTTATATGTCGAGGATATTCCAGTGTAAAGTAGACTAGTTGAACTTATAATAATACATCGACTCTGGTGCATCCAGATTAGTCCAATGCTGGTGACTTCAATAATAACGAATAGTCTGCTAGTTTGTCATCTCAAGAAATAAGACGGCATGTGTCACCTGCGGATGATGAAATTTGGCTCATATGTTTTTGTTCACTTAAATATATTTTTATTTATGTCAATTTTAATAATTTAATAATATAATTCCCTCTTACATTTTTATTTTTTTCAGATAATGAGGGTGCTCCGATAAAAAAGAGAGGTCAAACTACTTGTGCAGACATACATAGCATGCCACCAGGTACATGGTTCACATTAAAGTAAATAAGAATATGGTGTCATGTAATGTACCAAAGTCTATTATGTTCGGTTCATTCCTACTTAGGGTTGTAGCTAGAGATCCTATTTTGGCATCAATTTCATTCTCAGATTGATGCAATAATGATATAGAACTTTTTAAAAAGAGGAGGTTAGCTAAAGTAGATGTAAATATCATAACAAATAGTTAGATGTTATTTATATTTATTTGATAACTAAAATCATTTACATTATTTAGGTCAAACTTAAGTTCTCCGCAAACATAAAGCATTAGATACTACAATCTCTTGGGGTTAAGTTGCGCAACTATAATATTAGTTTGAATGCAGAACACTAGGATAGTAGATAAGTAAAGATCATGGAGGTTGTCAATATAGGAGTAAACCCAGTACAGTGGTGTCAGCTTGTTAGTAAGTGGTCACAACCTTATGATAAGATGAGTTAGCAAAATAAATCACATTATTGAGTTTGTTAAAAAAATGAAATTAATATGACGATTATTTGTTATAAGAGATAACAACAAAATATATGAAATATGCGAAAAACAAACATGTCCGGATATGATGAGTCGAGTGAGCTCCGTAAGGTGATAGCAAGAAACGATGTATTTTAATTGCTTATATATTTATATTTTTATATAAAAAAAATAAATTTTATTTTTTCCAGTCTATATGAGATCACCTCTTATTATGAAAAATCAGTTGCATGTGTAAAAAAAGATCATTATCATCTAAGGAGGCCAGAAAAATGGATAAAATCGTAAGCATTTCACATGATGAGTTATATATATATTTTGAAGCCAATGAGAAAACTTTGAAATGTTTGTCATGAATTGGTTGATGTTATAAAATAAAAATTTTGAAGCCAATGAGAAAACTTTCAAGGCGATCATGAGGCTTGAACACTAGGGAGGATACAAACATAGGGTTTTGGGATCAATTCAAGTAGATATTTTTCTCGGAGCTTCACGACTCCAAGCAGTAGCAGTGGATGCAATATTGTATTTAATTGAGTTGTAAGACTTGAGAAGGTGGTGCAAATATTTCAAAGTGAGATGAGATAATTCATGCAAAATTAGCATGGACAATATCCAACATCAGGAAGCTCAACTATGATATATAAAATTAAAAAATTAGATATTCACATTTATTGATTTATTTATCATCTTTATTTTTATCATTGACTTCTATATTAATAATTGAGAGATGATGATCAATTTTCGCCTAATTGATATCCAATGTATAGAAGAAGAGAAGACATAATATATATGAGTATGATATTTTCATTATATACGGTCAATATTTTATTTTGAAATATTATAATGATTTTGATTTTATGTTCGGTTTTAAATAGTAATCTAATATTCTGATATATGATAATATGAATTTATTATTTAAATAGTTATAATGCTTGATGTTACTTAGCCTAAAAATTTAGAGTGGTAATGATAAAAGTTGAACATGTATTACAAATATTTGTAAACTTAGGCTAAGTAACATTAAATATTATAACTATTCAGATAATAAAATGCATATTGTCATACATCATAATATATATTACTACCTAAAGTCAAACAAAAAATTAAAATCTTTATAATATTTCAAAATAAATTATTGGTCATATATAAGAAAAATATTGTGCTCATTTATATTGTCTTCTTTTCTTCTATAACTTGGTTGTCAATTAGGTGAATATTCATCATTGTCTCTCTGTTAATAATATAGAAGTGATCAGGAAAAATGAAGATGATAAATAAATCAATAATTTTTTTTATTTTATATATCATAGTTGAGCTTCCTGGTGGTGTATGTTGTGCATAGTAATTTTGCATGAATTATCTTACCTTACTTTAAAGTGTTCTCATCGTCTTCTCAAGTATTACAACTCGATCAAATGAAGTATTGCTTTCACTGTTGCTGTCTGGAGTCGTGTTGCTCTGAGAAAAATATCTATTTGGAGTGACCCTGAAGCTTTATGTTCGTACCCTCCCTTGGTGTTCTGCCCTATGATCGCTTTGAAGACTTTCTTGTTGGCCTTGAAATTTCTATCTTTTGTCATCAACCCTTCCTCGACAAGTATTTTAGAAGCATGTTCTTAAATTTAAAAATATATATATATTTAGCATTCATTAAATTTATAATGTGAATTACTCATTTTTCTCTTGCCTTTTCAGATTACCAGCATCCATCTTTATACGTGCGATTGATTTTTCATAATAACATTGATCTCGTATAGATTGCATAAAATGAAAATTAATTTTCTTCATAGAATAAAAATATATAAGCAATTGAAATATGTATCGTTTATTGATATCTCATTTCAGAGTTCACTCGACTCATTATATGCATATGAATTTTTTTTTTCATTTTTCACGTTTCCTGCTATCCTCTCCTATAACAAATAATCTTTATATTAATTTCATGTTTTTTAGAAACTTAGTACGCCATTTATTTTGCTAATTTATTGTCTTTGGATTGTGACTACTTATTAACAAGCTGATGTTACTGCGCTGGGTCTACTCTTGTAGTAATAGTCTTTATAATCTCATCTTCTGGTCAACTATCCTAGTGCTATATTTTCAAACTAGTTTTATAATTGCACCACTTAACACCATTATATTATAGTATACAATGTTTTATGTTTGCGGGGAGCTCAAATTTGGCCTAAAGTAAGTTAAATAATTTTAGTTAGCAAATAAAAAAAAATATATGATTATTTGTTGTGATATTTATCTTAACTTCAGCTAGCATTCTCTTCTTAAAAGGTTTCATGTCTTTATAACTCTAATCTGATAATGAGATTGGTGCCAAAATTGGATCTCTGGCTATAACCCCTAAGTATGAATCAAGAAGAATAAACTTCGGTATATTACATAGTATATATTCATTGATTAGAGTAAATGTATTCCTCAACAATCCTTAAATATCATTTATATATGGTTGCTCATTTTGAAATTTTGAATAGTTTGTGATTCAAAATCAAACATACTAGGGGGATTTACATACATGCCACCTTATTTTATATACATACATATATATATACATACATATATATATATATATATATATATATATATATATATATATATAAACATTAAATTAACAATAAAAATACCACTCTGTTAAAACGAATCCTCACTCCATCTCTACCTTCGCCAATCCCTAATTACTCGCGTGCTGTTCCCGCGAAGCCCAACCTCCTCGCCTGCTCTTCTCGTGGAATCCTCTATTTGCTTGCTCTTTCTACCACCCATTGAGATCTTAGACGATGGACTCCCGCTAGGATCTATTCCTCTCACGAGCTGTGTCTTCCTCCAATTTAGCACTGTCGCTAAGCTGCAGTTAGTCTTCTGTTCCTCTCGCGAACTGGATGCTATTTTCATGATGTACTTTTTTCTCAAGCATTTTTCTGGTGAACGGTTATGCTCCATTTCGTTTTCTGGTGATCTCATTTGGCTTCTGATTCCTATTTTAAGTCTTTTTATTTTATCGGATTTTCGCTGTGCTTTCTCAGAGTTTGTTCCTGGATTTATGAGATCCCTTTGCGATTGTGTTCTCTCATGATGACTCTTTTTAGCATTTTTCTCTTTGTTGATTTTTTTACTATTTCCTTTGAAGGTATTTCTCTCGTCAGCTTTTTATAAAGATCGGAGAATGCAGTGATTGTGCGTTAAACGTATAAAAAGGTCTTTCAGATCAAATTGGTTAAGGGAGTTGTAGTATGTAGCGGATTAGCTTTGTCTTTTGATCTTTCTATTCTTGAAACAGATGGATCGTGGAAGAGGCATGGGCTTCAACCTGTTGTGCTGTCAAATTTTCCTACAAAGTTTGTTGAGATGTTTGCATATATTTTTTTTTTTCTAAATCAACACGCTTTGAGATTGTCTTACAGAATGCATTATCATCAATTTGAGGATGCTATTTTTATACAAATTGTTGATTCTAAAGTCACAATCACCGATTTTTGGTGTAGTGTTTAGGTGTATTGTTTTGTGAGAATCACCATCTGAAAGGAGTTTTGGTGTATTGTTTTGTCTGAATCACTAATTATATGCCTTATTTTGATCAACTGCTCCCAGTTCTACAGATTGTTAACGATTTATTTTTAGGCTTCGTTCTCTAAATGTCCGATTCTACAGATTTATTTTTAGATTTCGTTTTTTGAATGTCTCGGGAGAAATAAAACTGAAGTGCTAAGCTACAATCGGACACTGCAATAATAGCCACACAAAAATACAACAAATAAAATAGAGTACGCACGGAATGAAGAGCTCACTTTATTATTGTTATATAATAAAGTGGTATGTATGTAAATCCCCCAACATACTAACAACACTTTTATTTTTTGCACCTCTAACAATAACTTGATGATCATCCTTATGTCGATTCCAAACAGTTTATCCCGTAAAGAATTTAATTGTGATAATGTGTTCCTTGACATAAGTATTTGTTGATGCATGATTTGCATGGGCATAATATATTTCCTGATAGCTAGATTCTTACTATGAATTGCAAAATCTAAAAAAACTTGAACTCCTTTGTTGTATTCACGACTCAATATTGACTTGGTTATCCAACTCTTATTTATTTTAGAATTCAACTGCAGCTTTTCATAATTGATAATAATTGAGAAACTATTTCAGTTCATATTTTTAGTAGTATTGGATAGAAATACTGAAAGATAAAAAAAGAAATAAGCATGCCTTCAAACGATGAAATTCAAATGCAACAAAAGATGGTATGAAATTAATTACATGATTCATGAATTACAATTGATAAACTAATAATCTTTGATTTGATTTGTTCAATCTATTCAAGTTCTATTGCAATAACGGAGGATTAATAGAACGCATAATAATGATTCCAATACATATGAGAATGTTGTAAAGAGATGAATGATATTTAGCCTAACTTGTTTATATTTATTATTTCTTTTCTTAAATTTATTTTTACACTTTAAAAAAAAAAATTTTATATGCACATCTGTTTAATTCTTATAGAATATTGATAGGAGAATGAGAGAATACTCTCAATTGTGATGAGCCTGAACATCTAGTAAGTGTAGAATGCAAAAGGTTTGGAACCTGAACATCTCGTTGAAGGACCTGCATGAAGGACGGAGCGGATTGAGAAAGAGTCGGAATGAGTAGAATGAGCTGATTAGGGCAAGAAAGGGTGGAGTAATACATTAGTTTTAGCTTACCATTGCATATATCTCCTTTTAACGCCGGTTTGAAAACTGCTGATAATAACGACTACGGAAACACCTATTTTTTAGTACTAGGTTAATGATGTTCCCATAGGCAATATTTGATAAAATTTGCTCTAAAATAGCTTGAAGGAGAATAACATCATAAACTCGATGTAGCGATCATATATCCAACCTTTTCACGTATATGCTCATTTCGTATCCTATCTCTTAGGGTAAAGCCACTCATCCACCTGAGCATCCTCATCTTTGCCACACTTAACTTAGTATTATGATTCTCTTTTAATGGCCAACATTCGGCACCATAAAGCATTGCAGCGGGTCACACGGTGAGTTGGTGGAAAACATGCGACATATATTATAATTTCATTGGGTCGGGTCATCGGGCCACCACGTGGCGGCATTGTATTAGAGTCTGGATGTAGAGCTAGGTCCGTTGCGAGGTTGAATATATAATTTAAGCAGAATTTGAGTTGGATCTCGTCAAAGGCAAAAAGAATACATCGTCATTTCTATGGTATTTAGCCAAAGAGGCGCGCGAAGGGGGAGAAAGAATGTTACCTTCACAGCGGGCTCTTGATGTGACTTCCGATCCTACAAGAAAAATGTCGTCATTGAAGCAGGCGCAGAAGCTTTTACAGGATTTACTCTTTCAAAACTCTACTACATGCGAAACAGGCAAAGTAGAACAGCAAAGAAACGAAACAGGCAAAGTAGAACAGCAAAGAAACGAAGAAAATAGAGAAAAGGAAACAGCTTAGGCGAGCAAAATCATTGAAGAAGCTTTTACGTTTTATCTGCACATTGAGTTATTAACTATTTTCAGGCTATTTGTCTTTATTCAGATTAGTATAGCATCCATATATGATTCAGAGGTGCTGAGGTTCTATAAAAATTAAATGAGTCAATTTGATCTATTTGGAAAACCAAAAAATTTTCAATTTATTTCAACGCAAAATCTAAATGATTTAGGATTCATTTGGAGCATCTGCTTGTAAGAAAAATTGTAGAATTATAATTTGGAAAATAAAATTTTCAACAAATAATTGTGCATAACATAAATTTTTTATCTTTACAAAAACTGTGAGAACTCTTTAAAAATTATAATTGTTAACGGGACCGTTAATTAAATATATTTATATATATATTAGCATGTTTGATTGTTAAAAATAACAATGAAAATTTGATGGATTTGAGATTGATAAAAGGTGATTTTTTTATTTATTTATAAATAAAAACTAGCTTAAGTCAATCTCAAAGCGTGGTATTGAAAGAGCTTGACATTGGCGTAGAAGAGGTAATGTTTGGTAACATGGATTGATGTCACAGTGAAAGCAGGAGGTGATGATAATGGCCTTGGGGACAATGGAAACAAGTAACATGTCTTACTGAAACAGCAAAAAAGTTGTAAAAAATTAAAAATTTTCATTTTCAATCAAAATAGAGATACTTATGACTAATGACAATCGTAGCTTACACCTCTTGATGATGAAACATTGCTTTCGGATATCCCGCAGTGACAACATGTATACAAGGAGATCATTGTATAGTCGGGTCACACGGTGAGTTGGTGGAAAACATGCGACATATATTATAATTTCATTGGGTCGGGTCATCGGGCCATCACGTGGCGGCATTGTATTGGAGTCTGGATGTAGAGCTAGGTCAAGTGCGAGGTTGAATATATAATTTAAGCAGAATTTGAGTTGGATCTCGTCAAAGGCAAAAAGAATACATGGTCATTTCTATGGTATTTAGCCAAAGAGGCGTGCGAAGGGGGAGAAAGAATGTTACCTTCACAGCGAGCTCTTGATGTGACTTCCGATCCTACAAGAAAAATGTCGTCATTGAAGGAGGCGAAGAAGCTTTTATACGATTTAGTCTCTCTTTCAAAACTCTACTTCATGCAAAACAGGCAAAGTAGAACAGCAAAGAAACAAAGAAAATAGAGAAAAGAAAACAGCTTAGGCGACCAAAATCATTGAAGAAGCTTTTACGTTTTATCTGCACATTGAGTTATTAATTACTTCCAGACTATTTGTCTTTTATTCAGATTAGTATAGCATCCATAGATGATTCAGAGGTGCTGAGGTTCTATAAAAATTAAATGAGGCAATTTGATCTATTTGGAAAACAAAAACTTCTCAATTTTTTTTTCACCGCAAAATCTAAATGATTTAGGATTCATTTGGAGCATCTGTTTGTAAGAAAAATTGTAGAATTATAATTTGGAAAATAAAATTTTAAAAAAATAATTGTGCATAACATAAATTTTTTATCTTTACAAAAACTGTGAGAACTCTTTAAAAATTATAATTGTTAACGGGACCGTTAATTAAATATATTTATATATATATTAGCATGTTTGATTGTTAAAAATAACAATGAAAATTTGATGGATTTGAGATTGATAAAAGGTGATTTTTTTATTTATTTATAAATAAAAACTAGCTTAAGTCAATCTCAAAGCCAACAAATTTTTCATTATTTGTTTTGAAAATCTAATCTCAAAAGCAAGACCTTAAAAACATGATAGTATCTAAATGTTTTGCTTTTGATGGTGAAAAATACATCTTAGAATTAGGTTTTTGTTTAATGTTGTTTGGTATAGTGATTGTTGCACCCATGGTTTTGAAAATCGGACAAGATTGGCCAGTTCTGTAAATCAAACATATGGCCAGTTTGGTCATGAAAAATTGGCCCAACATTAAATCGGTTTGAACCGCCAACCAACCGTTAAACCAATTCCCTCTTTTAAGAGGATCGAATTGATTCAATCGGGCAGTCATTCAATAGGCTGTTCAATGCATAATCTATTTAAATAATTTAATTTAATATAAAATATTTTATTAAATATTAAATTAATTTAAATATAACACATTTTATTTATTAATATCCAACAAATTTAAATTATTA